GGAAATACTGACATATATATATATATATATATATTAAATTAAACTTCTATTAGGTTTATCTAAATGTATTAGATGACTTTTTCTATAATTTGTTAAACGCAACTCATTTTATCTAATAGAAATATCCCCTTGATTTTGAAAAATGAATTGTTGTAATTGTATAATATACATTTATTTTAAGTTCCCTATATGTAATACGACAGGTACATTTTGCAATATAAAATTGTAGCTAATCAGATTTTTTTTAAATTTACCAAGATATTTGTTAATTCATCTTAAACTTAAAAGTATTAATAATTTATTAGCTGGATACTGTTTATTGTGCAATGCAGTTAGTTATCAACCAGCTAGTCGTGTATTACAAAGAGTATTTCTCTTTGAACGGTTTCCTGTATCTTGTAGATGCGACTACGTAATGCACAAAATGAAACAGTGCAACTGGCGGTCGCCTTAAGTCACTGTCGTAGTTTAGGGAACGACATCGACCTTCACTGATGTAGCAGGTCGGTGATCTCAATATGTTTAAATTTGCATGTATTCTTTTTTGAAATAAGAAAATTGTTTTTTTTTTCGACTTTTAATAGTCAATTGCCTTATAAATTTATCGATGTAGTTATGAATGTCTTGATTTTTTTTATATTTGAACTAAGACTTTTTATCTAACAGCAGATGTTTGGTTTTAAAATTTTAAAATGTCACTTTTCTGTTTATATTTTTCTCAGAACTTCATATTTAAGTAAAATACTTTTAAAAAGGTCCACAAATTATAGATAGAGGGTGACCCCCAATAATTTACAATTTTATGTTAATCGACTTTTGCGGGAAATTTTAAACACATACCAAATTACAGTAATGTATTAAATGATATAAACGAGGCTTGAATGAGCGTTATTATATAAACCTATATTCATTAACAATGAAAACATGCAAATTTTTTTTCTTGAACTGTACAAAATAAACTCCATTAACCACGTATTCTAAATTCTTACAACTTTAAATTGTAACAAAGCATAGTTCTTATCAAACAGATTCAAGTTACAAATAAATATGGAACTCCAAATGGCTCAGTACCGTAAGAATGATTTTAAATACTGCAGATGCAAATAAAAGTGTATTTAGGTTAGGACTATGTAGGACTATATAAATAGGTTAAGGAAGAAACATATTTTGAGATAATTAATGAAATCATTTTACCGCATATCAAATGATATTTTTATAAAATTACATGTGACTTTTTGGAGAGGAGGAGCTAATTATTTTATGCATCAAAACAAAAGATATAAAATAGTTACGTAGCCAGTATTTTATTATGAGGGGAGTAGGCATAGTAAAAACCTACAAAATTCCGTATTTTGAATGATTTTTGTTTGCTTAGTTTAGTTTAAAAATGAATAATATTGTTGTTAATGGAGGCCCTATCCTTCGCTACACCATTGGTATTATACCAATTAAACATTTGCTGATCATTTTTTGCTGGTTATTAAAAAGAGAAATAAATCTTTGCCTATAAAATATCTATATTCTTATTAGTAGTTGAAGAAACTACCTCTGGACACCATATTCTTCCCTTATTACGCCAATCATTATTTACTCATTCTAGTTCAAGTGCTGAAATAAAAAAATCTTGAACTGTAATTTAACCTAATCTTTTTCGTTTAAGTTTTAGTACTAAAGTGACGCCAGTAAAAGTTCAAATTTTTGACATATATTTTAAAATATTAATTCCATTAAAATATAGAGGGACGATGTGGCCAAGTTGGTAACGCAGCAGTGCTTGACGTGCATTGCCTCGGTTTCAAAACTTGGTCACGGGTGGCTTCATTTGCCGAATGAGAGATCAGTTCGGTAATTGAAGTCGCCATCCCTCTCTTTGGCGACGGACTAACTACCCGTCGCGGTGTATCAATGGTTAAAAACCTTCTCCTTTGGGGGAGGTCGCTACGGCCCTTAATGGGCTTATAAAGCGTTAANTGAGAGATCAGTTCGGTAATTGAAGTCGCCATCCCTCTCTTTGGCGACGGACTAACTACCCGTCGCGGTGTATCAATGGTTAAGAAACCTTCTCCTTTGGGGGAGGTCGCTACGGCCCTTAATGGGCTTATAAAGCGTTAAAAAAAAGCCATTAAAATGCAGTGGCGTTATTTGAGGGGAGCAACTTGAGAATTTGCCTCGTCTGAATTATCAGTACAAATCAAATTCGAGTTATAGGACTGAGCCACATATTGATGTATCGATGAGTGGAATAACAATATAATAATAAAATATCTAAGAGAAATACTATTTATTTTTTAATACATGACATGTTCGACCAATAGAGCGGTAAAAGCGTGACTAGCATCGAGCAAATAAAGTAATGGTTTCTGACATAAAAGTAATATTAGATAACAGATTGTATTGATATCTTAACACCACATTGGATCATTCAAATGTTATTTATGAAACAAGATAAAAATCTAAATTTTAGTAATAAAAATAATATTTTATTTTATTTTATGTAAAAATATTATTCCTTAATAAATTATGTTAAATTGCGCAATTTTTCATCAGTGTAAACAGTATTATAGATAGTCCAACTTTCTGTTATCAGTAATTATTTGATTTTAAGTTAAGTTAATTTCCCTGTACTTCCACTGCCCCTCTGCCAATTGTGAGAGGTGACTAATGAGGTTGCGTCAGGTCAACAGCTGGCGTAAACATTTTTTTCAAATAGTATGAAGTGTCCTGAACAAAACTTAAGCGAAATGTCCCATCTCGGATGTACGCGGTGACAACAGGTGAGAGGTAGTTAAAAACGAAGAAGGCCTAAGGAATAAAGTGTTTGATACCAGCCGGACAACTTGTGCGGTAGCTATTTCACCAGTCATGTGTACAGGTCTACCCAACGCTTGTAGTGTAAACGGTGTAGGGACATCGCCACTTAACTCTAGGCTTAACATTTGTTGTGTGCAGGAAACTAAGTGGAAAGGAGAGAAATCAAGGGAAATTGGTGAAGGCTATAAAATAATATACTCAGGTAAGTCTAGTACAAAGAATGGTGTAGGGATAGTAATGGATGAGGAGATGAAAAGTAGAGTAGTAGAAGTAGCTAGGAAAATTGACAGAATTATGGTCGTAAAATTGATATTCGAAGAAAAAGTGCTGAATTTAATAAGTGCCTATGCACCACAAGTGGGATGTGATTAAAATAGACAAGGAAGAGTTTTGGACAGAGATGGACGAGGTGATTCAAGGGGTACCTGGCAATGAGAACGCGGTGATTCAAGGGGTACCTGGTAATGAGAACGCGGTGATAGGTGGAGATATGAATAGACATGTAGGTAATGAGAGGAGAGGATATGAAAGAGTATAGTTCTAGTGGAAAGAATGAGGCTGGAGAAATAATACTGGATTTCGCAGTATCGTATTATCTTGCTGTGGTTAATACTTACTTTAGAAAGAGGGAAGAACATTGTATAACATATAAGCGTGGGAGGAATAGATTTGTTTGCTGACTATATAATGTTAATAGGAGAAAATAGGGAGGAAATTAATCAAAGGCTAGAAGTGTGGAGATCAGCTTTTGAAGAAAAGAGTTTAAAAAGTAAAAGTAAGACAGAGTATATAGAGTACGAGTTTAACAAAGGAGAACACGAGGTAGGTGAAATGAGGAGGTCAGTGACAATAAGCGAGGACGTGATTGGAGAGGTGGAGAATTTTAAGTATTTAGGGTCAATTGTGCAAAAGAGTGGTGGTATTGACGAGGATGTAAGACACAGAATTAAGTGCGGGTGGTTGAAGTGGAGAGAAGTGTCTGGCGTCTTATGTGATAAAAGAATTTCAAAGAGGTAAATTCTACAAGACTGTAATGAGGCCAGCGATGATGTATGGTTCAGAGTGTTTGGCGGTTGATAAGAAATAAGAGCAGAGAATGAGTGTAGCAGAGATGAGAATGCTTAGATGGATGAATGGACTGACTAGAAAAGATAGAATAAGGAACGAGCATATAAGAGGGAGTACAGGTGTAGCGTCAATTGTGGATAAGATGTAAAAAAATAGACTTAGATGATTGGGTCATGTTATGAGAAGAGAACAATCGGAAGCTGTAAGAACAGTTATAGAAATTAATGTTGAAGGAAGAAGAGGTAGAGGAAGACCAAAATAGAGATGGAGGGATACTATTGAATGCAATATGAGGACAGCTGATGTGGGAGATCGTGTCAAGTGGAAGTTTAGGATAAGGGTGGCCGATCCCAAGTAGTTGAGATTAAGGCGAGGAAGAAGAAAAAGTTAGCTTAAAAAAAACCCTTATATATATATATGTATATATATCTTATATAAAGATCTTTTTTATTGTTTTATACATTGATAGTATAAGATAATTCATAAAAAAATATAAATATAAATATGAATACAAATATAAAATAGAGAAGTATTAATTAGAAACACTTTGTGATTCCATGTTTTCTAATTTTTATCTATAATTAATAGTGTGTAAAATAGGCTAAGATTTTTTTTATAGCAATTATAAGAAAAATTAAGTTTCATAAAGATAAATAATTTATTGTATAATCTATTTTTAAATAAATTTATTTTTTTATATAAAATTACTTTAGTGTTTAATTATGGCAGTTAAATCGCTAGCGACTTTGTGAAATTATGTGCCAGTCAAAAGATAACACTAGTCTAATTAGTGTTCAAATGATAAAGATGATGTATTCCAACCCAAATAAATAGTTCAAGTTATACAACATGAATTAAAAATAAAATAACTTTTATTTTTTCCAACCTTATTAACCATAATTATAANAAATAAAATAACTTTTATTTTTTCCAACCTTATTAACCATAATTATAAAGGATTAGTAGAACAAAAAGAGATTTTTTATATTTTTAAATATGTCAGTACATATTATATATTTAAATAAATATGTTTTCTATTTCTTGAGAACATAAATATTATTTATTCATATTTTATTAGTCATACGAAAATTATGATAAAGTGGCATTGCCAACAACTCCATATCTACACATATAATATATAATTGCTAAAATGCAATACATTTTTAATGACCATCCTCCTAAAGGCAGCAATTTTCAATAAGGTAACAAATGATAAACATATACAGTGTGAAGACTCTTAAACAGCAAAATACATATTATCAGTTATATTTTATTAAATTTAAAGATAATTAAAAATAAATTTAAATATTTGTAGGAAAATATGTTTATTATATCAAAACTAACAAATAATAACTCATAAGATTACTATTAAAAAAAAAACATTAGGTGATGAAAAAAAGTATTACTCCATATTTTAAGTATTTAAAATTAGTTGTTATTATAAAATAACAAAAAAAAATATTATCACTTTAAACTAATAGTTAAATTTAAAGTCTACTTTGATCAAGTATTGAATTTTAACTTGAGATATATCATACACAATGAATCTGAAAACAAGCTAGTTAAGATAATTTTTTTTTAATTTTTATGCATATAAATAAATAATGTTCTTCAATTATATTGTAATAGATATCACATTCATAATTCAAAATTAAATTTTGTAGGGCTTGTCGCTGGGATGCACATGATATAAGTAGAGGTGAAAATGTCCCCACATAAAAAATTTAACCCTAATAATGATCAAACTGAAATGTTTTTAATAATTTAATGGGATATTTATTAAAGTTAACTAAAATTTTTCAAGTAATTTGAAAATGAAAATTTCTTAACATTTTTTTCTACATGGAAAATAAAAATAATGATCAATGAGTCAACTTGGGGTAGTTAAATATTTTATTGATTTCATAACTTAATTTTTGTAAACAAATATTTAGTTTTTTGTCAATAATAAATGAAAACATTTTACTGGTGTTTTATATTAATAAGACTCAAATGATAATAGATATTTAACTAGCCTAAATTAAACCACCACTTCATGTTGACCCATTTGACAGTATAATATCTACACTATATTACTATCAATATTGAAAATACTAATGAGTAAACAATTTTCTAAGTAATGCATAGAATGTTATTCATGTAATTTTACTATTAAATTAATAATCAATTCCATAAAAAAAAATGTTAAGGAAAAAATTCTTTCTTTAAACTTTAAAAAAGAAGTGATAGATTTTTTTACACTATATGTTATTAATGTTTATAAAGGATACTCATTATAAAGAAGTACTGTGTCATCAACATCAGAAGGAATTGGTTTTCCTAATGGAACTTCAACTTTATCATCAATAAATAATGATTCGGAAGGATTTGGCATAGTTCTACCAATTCCTTTACAACTATGTTTTCCAGGTGGCAATTTTTCAATATAATGACTTTTTTTATGTTCAACCCTTTGAAAAACATTTGATTAACATCAACACAATATTAATATTAAATTCACTTACATATTACCAAGAGCTACCTCACATAGTAACAGTAAACCACTATTGTTTCCGTGAGTTGCCATACAATAATTAGCAGATTTTGATACCATATCAGCAAAATATATACCTTTACCAAACATATAACCAGTTACAGGAGCTTCTTTTGGTGCAATTCGTAAGCCCTATACAATATGATAAAATATATGAAATTTAATTTAATTACCATTAATATAAAATTTACAATCTACTGCTAAACTCAATTAAATATACAAGCTTAATTTTTTAAATGACAATTTATACATTAAATGTAATAATAAATTAAAAAATTAACAACTAGATCTCAATTTTTTAAGTTTTTAGGATGATTAAAAAAAAAATGTTACTAATGTAAGTTTTAATACAAAAGGAGATATTATTTCCATAACTATCAATAGAACTATGAGTATCACAAAAAAATTTGTAGAAGAAAAATGTTCAGAAAAAGTTATTTTATCATTATTGATAAAAATCTCATTTTTTAAATTTATTTTGAAATACATACTGTTGCAGTATATGCAACAATATGCATAAATAATTTAATTTTTTTATTAAAAAGTTGAAAAATGCATGATTAAATCATACATGTAAATAAAATTTTATCATAATATATGTAATGAACAAATAGAAGCCTATAGTGTTGAAATCAAACTAATGGTTAAATAACCTAAAAATTTGTTTAAGTATTTTATTTGTAATAACTTTACTTGAGACAGTATAGCTGCAAAATTTGTTATTCGAGATCCATGCCACAATATTTTTCGATTATGCAATTTCTTAAATGGTTTGTAACGTTTTTCTTCGCCTGTTCTAATCACTTTAAAAACATCTTTAATTTCTAAAGAGTATGAGGAATGTGTATCAGCGTGAGTATTTATTATATACTTTTCAATCATAGCAAACTCATTCATTTTAGAATTTAATACCTAAAAATTGAAAAAATTTATTGATTTGAAGAATTGAGTAATAATTAATTTTATCATTTAAATAACTAATATAATGTATAATCCAATATATAGACAATTCAAAATTAAGTAAGTAAATCACTTTTTTTTTGTTTTAAGGAATTACTGAATACAAGTAAAATGATTTTATATGTTTATTCATTTTTGAAAAAGTAATTCAATTTTGCTATTATTAATAGTAGTAATACACGTAAAGATACTTACTTCTATAGCACAATTAAGTTTTATATAATGTGTGTCAAGAGGATGAACTGTAGTATTATCATGACTATTGTCATCCATCATATTATATGCAATTTGAATTTCCATTAAACTATTTATCATTTCTAACTTAGCCTATATGTTTAGTTAGTTATAAAAAAAAATTCCATAATTATAAATTTTTATTAATCATTCAATAGCTGATTATAACTATTTTAGTCTGTAGTTAAGTACATACAAAGTTTATCATAAACCACTTGATCACTCGCAAAATAAATACAATATTAGAAAAATAATTTTTGATTTCTTTTAGTTGAATAATCATATAATAAATCATATTTCATGATTTATCAACTAATAATTATTTTTTAGAATCATCTCTTACAACTTAAAGGGGTGTCAATTTTATTTTTTAAATGGCAACATATATATATATATATATATTTATAACTAATTTATAAAATAGGAAATGTGTGGAATGTTGAGGGAGACATAAATGATGTGTGGAATAGATTTACTAGTTGTGTAAAAAATACTGCAAAGGAGATTGTTGGTGAGAGTAGGAGTAAATGCCAGGAAACAAGCAAACCCAGTGGTGGGATGAGGACATTAAAATAATTGTTGAAAGTAAGAAAAAGTAATTCAAAGTATGGCAAAAAGAGAGAATATTGGATGGAGTATAAACGGTTGTGCAAAGAAGCCAAGTGTGCAATAAGTAAGGCGAATTTTAAGAGGTATGATGAGTTGTATGAAAGGCTAGGAACAAAGGAAGGTGAGAAAGAAATCTATAGACTTGCAAAGATAAGAGAGAAAAGGTCTAAAGATCATCATCATATAAGGTGTATAAAAAGTGTTGATAATAAGGTACTCTCAAGTGATGATGATGTGAAAAAAAAGTGGAGAGTATTTTGAAAAAATACTGAATAAAAAATATTATATAAAAGTAAGATCGTGTCAAGTGGAAGTAAAGGATAAGGGTGGCCGACCCCAAGTAGTTGGGAATAAGGCGAGGAAGAAGAAGAAAAGAATTAACTATAGAAAATAATCTAATTACAGTAATTTAGAAGTTATTAACAATTTAGATTAATTATTGCAGGCGAGGATTAGATGATTCTATTCCTAACACTAAGAATTATCCTGCCTTATTTTTCATCCCGCCAAGGTATGAAAATGAGAATAACTTCCTAACTACATGTCCAAAAGTTTAAATCAGTTAGTCATTTTTTTTATTATATTATTTTCTGTTTATTTTTTATTTGTCATTTGAAAAAATAAAATTGACATCACTATAAACTAAAGGAGATGATTATAAAAAGTAGTTATTAGCTGATAAACAAGAAATTTAGGTAACTTAAAGAAATCATAGTTTTTTTCCAGTATTGTATTTATTTTGGGTGTAACCAAGTAATCATTATATACATAATATTTAAAAATTATTTAGATTTTAGTAGCCTCATCATAATGTTATAATAATATAACTGCATAATATATAGTTTTAACAAATATAGTAAGTATTATTATTAAAATGTATAGAATAACTTACATTTATGATTTCTTTAGAATCAATTAATGGAGGATTTTTAATACCGAAATCATGAGGTATTAAAGTGTAAAATCGATTAGTTGTTTCAATGATTTTTCCTTTTATATTTGATTCTTCAATAGAATTCATTATATCATTTAACTCTGTCAATGTAGAGTAAGCAAGTTGCAATTGTTTTTTACTTAATTTTCCAAGAGGCATTTTTTGTAAATCAAGCTAAAATGTTCATAAATAGTATTATGTTACAATAAAATTACACAAATAAAAATTTATCACCTCAAATTCATACATAGCTTTTTTCATTGATTCTACATCAAATAATAAACGAATCAGCTTTTGAACAGGTTCAGGAAGTTTGCTTTGTAATTCACTAACAACATCTAAAGATTTTGTTTCATCCTAATTGCCAATTAATATTAATAAAAAAAAAAAAGATTTAGGTCAATCAGTTCAATAACTATAAAGACTTATGCTTACAATCTTAATTATTTACAATTTATTTTTTTTAAAAAAATTATTTAATTTGTTTTAATTTAAAATGAATTTACTAAAATATATTAATAAACATAAAAATAAGAAAGTAAAAATGATATAATATGACACACTTTTAAGGATAAAAAATGAATCTATTTTACTGACTTACTTGGCCATAATTAGTATCAACAGGTATTTTTTTACCAGGTTTTTTGACAAAATTATTTTTATTTTTCCAAATATTACCAGTCTGGTCTTCATAATAAAATTCAAATTCTTTTTTTGCATCTTCTAATAAATCAAATTCTGTAGTTTTAAAGCCTCCAATAGTTGTACCAATTCTACCCCAAGAACGAAACAACCAAAACCTAAAAATAATGTGTAACCATTTGAATTGTTGCTAATTTTACTTATCAAACAATAAAGTTTTTTACAATATTATACAGTAATTTTTGAAAATATTGTAAAAAATAATAGATTTTAAAAATTATTTTAAACTAATAAAATCTTAAAAATCAACACTTCAAATATTAAATGTTTATAAATTTTATTATTTTATATTGGTTTTATTCATAATGTATTGTAAATATATAGTACATAATTTAAATAAAACATAAATTACTTATAAAATTTAAGAAAAATACACCAAGTTATAAAAAAAAAGTAAAAAATATACTAGAAAAAGCTATATGAGAATAACTGTGATTATATTATAAGTTGTTGCTTAAATGACTAGAAAAAACATGGCTAACAGACTCAATGATACAAGTAAAAATATGTTAAACACTAAATCTATTCAATTATTAAAATTAAAATTGAAGTTTTTAAACATATTTTTTTACCTATTTTTGTTGTCTGATTGTAGTAATTGCAACTTATAATAAGAATTTTTACCAGTTTGTACATCAGATAAACATAAATTTGCATTCCAAACTTCATTATTATGTTTGTATACATGAGCTTTATGTTGTAGTTCTGACTGCGGTTCTACAGCTATACCATCTTTTAATGTTAATTTGACACTGGTAGGAACACTTTTTTCATACATGCTTTTGCTTATTGATTTACTTTTTTGGCCACTTTTTCCATAAGCAGCTTCTAATTCTTTTAGTCTTTTTTCGACTCTTTTTTTTATCTACCGGAATTTTACACATAGGTACAAACAAAATACCCATAAAATTTAAGATAAAATATAATACTTAACATACATCTCCACCCCAAGGAGCTAAGTTTTGTTTTTTTATTAAATCTATTGCATCACCACCTTTTTCAATAGCATCAAAAAATTCATTTGGATCAATTACTTGTATGTCTTTTTCTTGAGCTTCTTTTATTTTAACACTTTTTTTACCAATACTTTCTAAAAACAATTAGTAAAAGTAATCATTTTAATTATTATTTTACAGTTAATAAAAATTAATTGAGCTACATTTAAATTTATTATGACTGATGAATTTTTTAGAGAAACATATAAAAATTACATTAAGTAAATTAAATATTGTACGAGGTGTGAAAAAATACCCAGATATTTGCTCCCTGGAAAGCAATACACCACTGCCATCTTCTTTACCACTTTTGAAAACATTCCTGGTAGGCACTAATTGGAATTTCCTTTAGATTGATTTTCGTATTTTGTTTTATGTCATCAATTGTTTGAAAACAATGTTCTTTGAGTGTAAATTTTAACTTCAGAAACAAAAAAGTCGCATGGGGCCAGGTTGGGTGAGTATGGTGGTTGTGGAACTACTGGAGTCCGATTTTTTGCTGAGAACTGATGAATGAGCAATGAGCTGTGAGCCGGAGTGTTATTGTGATGCAATCCGACCGTTTAAACCACTTAAAACATGTTGTCCGAGACAACATCATCTCCAAAAGCTTGCTTCAAAAGTTTTACTATACTTTACCCTAATGTAAAACAAAATTTTAAGCAACACACATTGTTTTTCAATTGCTTCCATTTTTGAAAATTAACGTATAATTGAAACATGTTTTTGTAAAAATGCCATAAAATAAAAATAAATATTGTTATCGATTTCAAATTAACTCTCAAATTCTCTTTAGAAGTTACTATAATGAATGAAATTATTGGATTTTGTTATTTTAATTGATATAGATATTAATGACACAGTGCGGGTATTTTTTTATCACACCTCGTATAAACCTATATATTTATAATATAACTAAAATTATTTATTATATATTTTGTCTTTAACCTGTATTGGCAAAAACTGCAGCTATCGTATCAGTACACTGAGATATCAATGTACCACCATATTTGGGCACTTTAAGCTTTAAAGTTTTCAACTCTGCGCCTTTATGGATACTTGTAAACTCCATATTTCTTAATGGTAAAATACGAGTAACTTTAACCCTAAATTAAATAATTTGTTTTTATTAGTAACTACATGTTCTTTTTTTTATTTATAAGATTCTATTACAATGATGAAAGAAAATCTGAGTTTATTTGTTGGTAATTTTTCAAATTTTCTATTAATTAATAAAAATAATTTTAAGTTTTTCTTAAAATACCAATAAATTGAATATGGTTGTCATTTCACCAGTTTATTCTATATCAGTTTTTTAAAGCCATTTTATATTGCTTTAGACTATAATTCATTTGATCTTATTATTTAATTATACAATTTTTGTAATAATGTGAATTATCATTTTGATTTAAATAAATGTTTACTATTATATTTTAAATAGTTGTAAAAAAATTTAATTCTAATTAGATTTTATAATTCCATTTAAAATCATATTGCTTAAGTTTAATTTTTATTCATTTTATCTTAAATTGTAAATTATTAAATATTACTTACAAGCCTTTTTCATTTGGTGTAGGTACTGAAACTGATGATTTTTGATTTTCTATAAATATCCTTTTTTGAATTTTACATTTATAATTATTTCTGCGAAAAATATCTAGTATATAATTATACATATGCTTTATATACAATACTAATTTTAATATACTCACAAAAATTCATCATTTTCAAGAATATGTGGTGGAATTTGAAATATAGTGCGAGGTGGATCAAGGAAAATTTTTTCACATTTTAACCATTCATTTTTATACCCTAAACATTGATAACCAACACCAGTTTTAAAAACAAGTTGACCTTTACATTCATCACAAGATAGTAATACTCCAAAAGCCATTGCATCTGACAATCTATCATATATCTTAAAATATAATAAAATGAATTTTAATAATAAATTAATATAAATAATTATCCTTTTTTTTTCTTCAAAAAAGAGTCATATGAATAAATTCGAATAATAACAAAGAAATAAAAACAGAAATCCAAAATTTTAACATTTCTTGTAAAACATAAAGAAATTACATAAATATAATCTATTTTATATGAAAATTACATAGGAAAAAAACGATAAGTAGTTGTTGATTATTAAATGTCATATTTGCTAAACATTTTTTACCTTCCATGCATAGCTTAAGAGGTATTAATTGTAAAATTTGTTTGCATTAAAGTCTAAATATAGAGGCGTGGTGTGGTGCGGTGGTCACACTAGTTGTTGACAAAACTCTAGTGTTAAGCCGTGCCTACCAGCATAGGTGAACAGATGAGTGACCATGCGTGTGCTTCTACGGTGTCGAAAAAACACCATGTTCCCAGTGCAGATGGCAACAGGAAACTACTGCACTTAATTTTCTAGGATGTAAAGCTATGACAAAACCTTAGCCTTTAGAAAAAGATAGAGTCTAAATATACTGCTCCTACTGGATCAATTTTGTTTAACGATATATTAATATAATTTTATCTTATTAAAACTATTAGTATAACAATTTGAAAAAAATTCTTTCAATTTGTGTAAGAAAAATTAATATTGTTGAAAATAGCTGATTTTGATATTTTAGTTTCCACTTTATATAAGGACTTGAAACCGTTAAAAAAATATATTATAAAACTATATTTTACTTAAAATTAGTAGACAGTACTGGTTACTGGTTTTTTAATAGTCAATTGATGTTTTTTTAGAAAATTAAGAAAATAAATGTTAACTGTTTATAACTAGTTGTAGTTTTTTTCAGTTACCATTAACCAGTAACAATTAGTTAAAAATTAAATAAAATTTTTAAGTACTTATTTTTTCACACACACAAAAAATGTTCAGCATTTTTAACTACTAAGGATCTCTCTAAGTGTATCTTTAACTCACAATTATTTTTTCATATGGGTTAACACAAAATTAATACTATTATAGTAATAACTACATTGGTACTGTTAGGCTTTTGTTCTAATGAGGCATATATAATACAATTTTTCTCTACTACCCCAAATAAATAAAAATGCACATATAAATGTTCTAATGGAATTAATCATCCCACTAATAAGCCTCTTATTTTATTTATTATCTTATATCCAATACTTAATGATGGCATAAATGTAAAAAGCATTATCAATTCCAACCTAACCATATTTATTATAACCTTATAATCAATTTATCATTTTTGTATTTAACTGGTTAATTTAAAGAGGAAATCAAAATTTTATTAAACAAACTATTTCTTTAAAATTTTTTTAATATTACGACATAATCTATTTGGGTTATTAGCCAAAATGTTATACAAATTTTACAGAAGTTTATAAATATTTTCTTAATAGTACAATTGGGTTTCAGCTTGTACTAGTGTATGTGCAATATGCCTATTTTAAGCTAATACTTAAAACTATAAACTTACTGCTGCAATATTTGAATCGGGAATTTCTTGATTATTGAATTCTAAAAGTTCTTTTAAAATCTTCCTGTTAATTGTTTTCAAATAATCTCTGTATTTAAATATCAAATTGTTCTGTTTTTTTATTATCTCAGTTTTTTCATTATCCATTTTCATTTTTTTACTAGGACCTGGTCCATCAACTTGATCTACATTATTGGATCTAAACATTTTTAATAACTAATTAAAAATTATTCAGCACACAAAAAAAATATATATCTTACTTAGAGTTTTGATTGGTTAAACATGGTAATAGATTTTTAATCTGATTTCTGTCTTCAGCATTTAATGTCGCATAACCAGATAATGAACTACCAAAACCCATAAATTCCAACTCATTTCTTAATTTTACAAAACATTCTAAATGATGCCATCTATTAATACCACCAAATCGGCGAGCTTCTTCACTATCATAATCCATTTTACCAACTCTTATATCATTCTAATAAATATTTCAAACATTATTTTAAATGAATATTTAATTATTTTAAATAATTTGATGAAAATCACAAAAATATAATTATTACAACAATATAAGATTTTCTTTTCTAGTCAACTTATAAATATTCACAAAAATAATGTAGTTGTTGCTTTATGTTCAACATGTTACTATGTTGGACTATATCATTTTCAAAATAAAAAAACAAAAAATAAATAAATATTAGAATAATCATTTTGCATATTTATTTTTTGAGATTAATAAGATAATTCATTTATCATGTCCTACTTAATTGATAAAAAATAAAAATAATTTTGATAATTTTTTTATTACAATATTTTTTTCAATTTGTCCATCATGAAATACTTTTAATGTTAATTCTTATAATTATAACCTTATAAGGGTGTGAACTTTAATTTTATTGAAAGGAAGGAGTTAAAAATAATATTTAACTATTGTTTAAGTAAAAGTAGATTGTGTCAAGTGGAAGTTTAGGATAAGGGTGGATGACCCTAAGTAGTTGGGATTAAGGTGAGGAAGAAGAAGAAGAAGATTGTTTAAGCAAAAGTATAATAACAATTTAATTTAATAAAAGAAAAATAGACAAAAAATATAATATAAGACAGTAAATACGATGCAATGACAGTTGCATAAGAAAAAAAAAATTCCCATAGCAACCTGCTATTTTGTAATACTACATCAGCATAAATTATAGATGTTTTACTTAGCAGTAAAATAAATGATTACACTAAATTTTAATTTTAATTTCAACAAATTTTTTAAATGGAAACATGCATAATTAACTAGCTTATTTGTTATATGATGATTTAATGAAGAAAATGACTATTCGATAACATCTTTTGGAACAGTATTGAAGAAGTAATTAACAATTTAAAGTAAAGACTGGGTGCTGTTATTTTTATAGCTAAACATTTATAGCCATACTCTTTCTATTGTCTAAGTATAAACAAGAGAATAACTTCCAAAAGTTGTTATTGACCAATCATTTTCTTATTTAAATTATTTCCTATTTTAAGAGTTAGTTAAATATATGTATGTTGCCATTTAAAAAAATAAAGTTGACACCCCTTTAAGTTATAAGGGATTATTTTAAAAGTAATTATTATCTGATAAATCAAGAATTATATGTAACTAAACAAATAAAAAAATTTTTTTCCAATATTGTATTTATTTTATGAGTAATTGATTGGTTTATGATAAATTAATCACCTTGTATACCAAAAATTGAAAAGTACAATAACAGTAATATACAGTAAATACTATATTACTGTTTGCAATAATTATTCTAAACATTTGACATTCTAATCACTGGAAGAAATATAAATGGATAAAAGAAAACAAATTATGAAATTCATACTTTAATAATTTTATCTTGACATCCACAGCATACAGCTCTTCCTGATACAGCATATTCTACATTGAAATCTTGATTTGTTTTTTTCTTCGAAGACTTTTTTTTTTTTGTTTCTGGTTGAGCAGTGCCAACTAATGATTCTTCATAAATTAATAAGAGTTACAATTAACAAGTAATAGTAATTTATTAAAATAATGAAATATTACCTATTTTTGTCTTAATTTTTTGTTGATCATCCCATTTGATTGACTCAATGTGAGCAATATCATCAATGGTCTTAGGACGTTGTTTTGCAAAAAAACAATTAAAATGATACCAGTTAGGTTGTTTTCCATCAAATACAGGAGACTATAAATTTATTTTTAATTAATCATAATATTATATTAATTTATTTTAGTAAAACAAGTAATTTTAAACAAAATTAATATTATTAAAAGAATTTTTTTTGAACAAATTTCTTTTCTTAAAAAATTTACTTAATGGATGGATCTTTTATTTTTTTAAATTATTTAATTTAATAAAGCTTAGATATATTTCAAATATTTGACCAATTAATCTATGAAATAAATAAAATGTCTTAAGATGTTCTTCTCAATAGGTTTTTTAGCATTTTTCATATACTTTAATAACAAAAAAATTATCAAAGTATGCAATTGAAAAATTATACAATAATTCTAAGCCTTTTTAGTTTTTTTTTTAAGATTTTCTTGAAAGCTGGATTTTCTTTCTTCTAGGGAATTGAAGACATGAGCCTATCCCAAAAGAGTGTCAAGAAACTCAAGTCAATTTGTGGAGTCGGGAGGCAAAGTTGACTCCAAAATTTGTTCTAACTAATAATATTTGAAATATGTACATTTAAAAATAAATCCGAAAAAATTTTAATTAAGGCAAAACTGAAGACTTAGAATTTATCAAAATGTTCAAAATTTTAATCTTTATAATAGATACTCTTAATTAGAAACCTCACCGTTTATAAATCATTCAAAAACTACATTAGGACGAGTATTGATATAATATATGATTGAAGAGTAATAGAATATATGCTGCTTAATAACATTATATGCAAAATTTAAAGTGCTATGACTTTTTAACTATTTTTAACCAATATTTTAATTTTGCATATTTGTTAAATTAAAAAACTCATCAAAAAGTGTTTAACCTTTTTAGAGAAAATTCAGTTATTTCAACTCTCCCAAAACTAAATGAATGTGTGCCCATCCTACTATGTTTCAGTTTATAAATTACTGTATTTCAGTTTTCATTAATTACTATAGCAAACCCTTTAAATACAATGTTTGGTCAATAATTTTTAATTATAACATACTTGAACCATAACAGCGAGTCTCAAATGTTCCTTTTCAATACCAATTTTACAACCTTTACACTTAGACCTATTACTTTTAGCATATTCTGCTCTATAGGGTAACTGGTCATTTTCCATTATGTGAATTTGTAAAGCTTTTTATTAATTATAGTTTAAGTTTTATGCTATAACTGAAGCATAAATATAACTATATAACTTAAATATACAAAATTACTCGAACAATTTAATGGTATTTAACGAAAATTAAGGCTACATGGAAAAATTTAATTTTTATAGTAGGCAAAAAACATGATAACCGCGTACGAATATTATACATAACAATCACTGTAAATGGAGGGAAAATAATTTCAAAGTCTCAAAAGATAAAGCAGTGCGTGCAGTACTTAAAATAAAATGGCTATCATAAGTTGGGCAAGTTTGTCAAACCAACATAGATTATCTACTTATCATAAAAAAATCATATGACATTCATATATAATCACAGAATATAATTTTAATTCTATGTGATATCATAATCACATAATGCAGGGTATTGTCTTTATCTACTAGGCACTTAATTTCGGTTTTATTCGTAATTTGAATAAAATAGTTAATAAAACATATATTATTTTAAATTTTCCTTAAAGAAGTGGGAATGATTTTAATTTATTGAAAATTGAATAGTTTTAAAGTTTCCTTTTAATGTTATATATTTTAATATTTCCCAAAAATTTTCTCAAAACATTTCTTAATTTTGTTTATAATCATATCAACCAAAAGTCTCTGATATTAGTCAAATTTATTGAAGTTCTTATTGGTAATGTGCTTCATTTTATAGTTAAACTTTTTTATTTAAAGTATTTAAATTCATTACAACTGTAATTTGAATTTCTTATATAAACATATTGTTATTTATTTAAAAATAGATTATACAGTAAATTATTTATCTTTATGAAACTTAATTTTTCTTATAATTGCTATAAAAAAAATCTTAGCCTATTTTACACACTATTAATTATAGATAAAAATTAGAAAACATGGAATCACAAAGTGTTTCTAATTAATACTTCTCTATTTTATATTTGTATTCATATTTATATTTATATTTTTTTATGAATTATCTTATACTATCAATGTATAAAACAATAAAAAAGATCTTTATATAAGATATATATACATATATATATAAGGGTTTTTTTTAAGCTAACTTTTTCTTCTTCCTCGCCTTAATCTCAACTACTTGGGATCGGCCACCCTTATCCTAAACTTCCACTTGACACGATCTCCCACATCAGCTGTCCTCATATTGCATTCAATAGTATCCCTCCATCTCTATTTTGGTCTTCCTCTACCTCTTCTTCCTTCAACATTAATTTCTATAACTGTTCTTACAGCTTCCGATTGTTCTCTTCTCATAACATGACCCAACCATCTAAGTCTATTTTTTTTCATCTTATCCACAATTGACGCTACACCTGTATTCCCACTTATATGCTCGTTCCTTATTCTATCTTTTCTAGTCACTCCACTCATCCATCTAAGCATTCTTTTAAGCAGAACTAAAATAATTTTTAAGGAAATAATTTACTGTAAAACTATTTTCTTTAAGTATTCTATTATTATTAAAAAAATATTTTAAGCATTTTAAACCTGTAATTTATGATGGATTGGGTCCTAAAAGCCCACCGAGATTTTTACATTAAAATATCTCATACCTAACCTTTTTTTCTCATTATTTCATATTTTGTACATTTTAATTTATTTGTGGTTCTTCAAAAATAGGTAAACTTGACATCAGCTTTTGAGGTGTAGCCACAATCATTTTACAATGTCATCATATAATAAGGCCAATCTATTTTAAACCAGTTTCTAATTAACAAATCTGGGTTCATTGGTAATGATTCTACCAATAGTACCACTTTACCATAGAAAAAAATTGAATTTTCAAGGTGTAGTAAATTATAAAACTATATATTATTTAATTTTGTTAATAAGATATTTATTAGTTATGTCACTAGAACGATTGAGAATGAGTTTATAAAAATGGATCTAAATTATAGCTGTTGATTTTTAAAATACATACAAACATAATATGACATACATTTGAAAATATTTACAATTAACTTGATCCTTATCATAAACTCCATCCACTGGTGTCAACAATTGGTATTATTGTAAAGTACTACACAAAATAAATCAATTTTTTAACTTTAAGTATACCTGTACTCATAATGATTAAAGTATTTTTTGTGAAATGTACTATAAATACCATTACTAATAGTAACAAACAGATAAACAACCTTGGAGTAATTTTATTTGTACATCATTATTTCTTAATGACATAACAACTTTTATTGTTATCTTTAATATTAGTATTTTCAATAAATTAAATAATACAATCAAATATTATAATTAAAGTAAGTAATATATATATATTTTTATTAATAGTAAGTACATTTGTGGTATATTTTTAAATTTATAAATAATGAATGAAATAATTCTCATAAGTGTTACTTGAAATGAGAAAATATAAATCTGTATAATCCATATTATTTTGAGTTCCAAAATACTTGTTGAAACTAAATTTTTATATTAAATTGTCCAGATCCTGAATACAGATATCTATAAGATAATCAGTCTCATATACATTAAATTGATAATTTAATAATTATATCAATATTTTAGATTGAGTATCTAGCAAAGGATGTATTAGGTGAAGAAGTAATGTCCCCTTGAATCTTTCTAATATTAGTGCTTTTTAAATCAAGTAGACTAAAATAGAGTCAAAAAAAATTGTACAAATTTTTTTTAGGATTGTATATATTTATATTGAAAAATATACAAATCAAAATGCTTTTTATATTATAAAATTTAATAGACATATTGAATATATATATATTTTTAATCATTATATTTTACTTTTTAATATTTAGATTTATTCCAAAAAAATTGTTATCATTAATAATGGATGATATTGAAGTTTCATACATTGAACTTAAAAATTTATGTGAAGAGAATTTGAAATTTTTCCAAAATGATGAAAAAAAAAGTTATGCAATATTATCAAAGAGTTTTAACCAACTTTTTAATAAAGTTGGTTGTTTAATACCTTTAATTGAATCACTTCGGATTAGCTGCCATTTATATGACTTTGATCCATCTACACCGGGAAATGGTTACCGAAGCTTTATTGCAGCTGTTGATATCTTCATAGCTCATTGTATAAAAATATGTTCTCAGTTTACAGCTAATCGTGATTCATTTTTCTTCCGTAAAACATTTTATACAAAGTATAAAAATTATTTATAAATTTACTTTTATAACATTTTAAGAACCGAAAATTATTTTTAGAGAGATTGAAGCATGTAGTCAAGTGATGGATACATTGGTATTATGTTTAGAAAATTTATGTCAACTAATTGGATGGAGTAAACCAGGCATACTCTTTGCTGGAAATGACAGTACTGCTTTTGAAATGATGATGAAAATTGAACCTTCAAAACTTTTACCCTTTTATGGCCGTTGCTTGGCTTTTCAAGTGAGAAACTTTGAAGTAAAATTTATCATTTTATGATGGGCCCAAAACATTAAACCAAAAAGTTACTTAAAGACTTTACATTATCAAAATATTTATCAGATTTTTATAAAAAACAATTACTACTAATTATAAAATTTAAAATATGTCAATCAATTCTTTTATTATTTTAAGAAGGCAAAAAAACAATTATGATTTTAAATAATTAAAATTAAAACTAATTTTATCTACAATAAATAGATTTTTTAATCTATATATTTTATTTATCAATTTTGAAGATAAAAATTTAAAGAATTTTTTCTATAAATCTTTGCTTTTTATTAATTTATGGATATGTTTTTCGTTTTCTAGTTTGGTGAGTCACTTCAACCTGCATTAAAAACTATCGCCATTATGATGGCTTCATTTAGTGAAGTATATTACTATGAGAATAGCATGTTAGCCAAAGCTAATGCTGCATGGAATTGTAATTCAATGTCTATTTAATCATTTATGCATTATAATCAATATTTTATGTAATTATTAGGTAGTAAGTATATGTTAAATCCAGAATTGAGAGCTCGTAGAATTGTCAATTTAATTCAATATTCTTCTGTTGAATTTTACCAAGCATTTTTATTTCTTGGAGAAACTGGTAATATATCTACAAATATTTTAAATAGTTAATTTTTAAAAGTATTTATTATTTTTTAATAAATTTTTTAGAAATATTGAAGAGTTTACCTAATTTAGTATCACCCACAGTTGCTGTAAATCGTATGATATCTATTCCAAGTAAACCAATTGTATACTTAAAACCTAATGGACAACAATATGAACTTAAACCTCCCGAGAGTCATGTAGGATTAGCACCTTTAAATGTGCGATTAATTTCAAAAACTAAACGTAGAGGCATGGTAAATTAGGTTATTATCACTTATTAATAATTTTTTTATACTAATTTAAAGTGTCTAGCTCGATGAAAGTCCTAAAAATAATGTATTTCCTGAGGCCTCGGAAAATCTAATAATTCATTGTCATGGAGGTGGCTTTGTATCTCAAAGCTCTAGTTCTCATGAATCATACTTAAGAGATTGGGCTGTACGCTTAAATATACCTATATTATCAGTAGATTATTCCTTAGCTCCAAGAGCACCTTATCCAAGAGCGAGAGAAGAAGTGTTATTTGCATATATTTGGGCATTGAACAATGCAGCATACTTAGGATCTACAGCTAAACATGTAATATTGGCTGGTAAGGAATAAATGGTCTTCATCATATTGAAAACTGTATAACTTAATTACTTTTATTTGTAGAGTTTTGAAACAATATGTATTTTATTTTTAGGCGACTCTGCTGGTGGAACTTTAAGTGCTTGCGTAGCGCTCAAGTGTATTGATATGGGATTTAGAATACCTGATGGATTATTTTTAGCTTATTTTCCTTCTCTTATAGCCTGGTCACCTACACCTGCTAGATTTTTAAGTTTAATTGACCCTTTATTACCCTTAGGGTTTATGATAAACTGCTTAAAAGGTATATTGTTTAAAAATTTTTTTAGCTAGTACTTTATATTAAATGTAAAGTATTTTAATTTATAGCTTATGCATGTCCACCTGAAAACTATCAAGATAACACATATGAATATAAATTAAAAAGAATAAAAAAAAGCAAAAGTAGTATAGCCAATGGAAATTTAGTAAAAGAAGTTGAGTCCAGTGAAGAAGCTTTGGAGTTAATTTCAACTAATGGTGACGGATATCTTCCAGAAATACCTATAAAAGATAATAGTGATACAAATGTAGAAAAAAATTGTGATTCAAAACAATTTTCTTCTATGATATCTGAAACAACTGAAAATATTTCATCAGCTATATCTGATACATTCACAACTTTAACAACAGGAAATACAGAAGATGATATTAGGTAAATAAAATGTTAAAATTAGTTAAATTCTGTTAAAACTGAATAAATGAGAAGTGTTAATAAAATTTTGTTAAGTGAAAATCATAAATATTTATTACTTTTAATTTCAGTTAAAAAACTTTGTCTAAAATTAATCAATAAAATTTCAACTTTTTTAAAAAATTTTTTCATTTACACATATAAATTTGTTTTTATTATTTTCAAGTGATGGAGATGATGCTTTAGATGAAGTTGATGCTTTAGATGAAGTTATTGAAGAAACTGCTTTACTAATTGATTTACCTAAATTGCCTGAGGATCCATTTCTTTCGCCATATTTGGCAAATGACGATATATTCATAAAACTACCTACTGTTCAAATTATAGTATGTTACTAGAAACATATTTAAATCTATAAAAAATATTAATAGTTAAAAAATTACACTTTTTTTTTCATTAACTTTTTATATTAAAATTATACTTTTAACTATAATTATTTTTGCATATTGAAAAGTATAAATAATATTTAATTGGATAAATATTATTTAATAATGAAGTATTTATTTAAAAATAATTTTCTTTAATTATTTTAAAAAAATTTAGATTTGAAGAAATTTATTGCAATTAAGTCTATCACATTTGTAAATTTAATTATTTTAAATATGGTCATAATTAATTTTTAAAAGTATACTCAATATAATGAAGATTTTACTATCAGAAATTGATTAAACAAAATATTTAACATATTTCTTACATAGTATGTACAGTATACATAGCTTAATATAATGATTACATTAATCAAATGATCTCACTAAACAAAATTCACATTAACTGTCTAAGGATAAAGTACAATATTAAAAACTCTTATTACTTACATATATTTTTATTAATAAAGCAAAAATCTCAATATGAAATATTATTATATACAATGTGTAATAAATTAAATATATAATTAATTATTCATAAAATATTTGTCTACTGAATTCTGATTTCTCTATGATTTATAAATGTGTCAAAAATAATTCAATGAAGGAATCAGCATAGGTCCACTGGTATTGTCGCAGGGTATGAAGAGATATATGAAAGTATCAAGTGTAAAGTGAAAAGCTTCTAATTGTTCATCCCCATTTTTGGCAATGAAGACATCTAGTGTTTACATTTGAATTCTGTGATAAGGTCACTTGGTTGGTCCAAAATCATTGCGTAATGCATAATGTTAATCTTGTGAACCTAAATATTTTCAGTATAATTATATACAACAAAATGTAACCCAAGAAATTTAATCAGTACAGAAGAATTATTTCAATATATGGAATCTATTATACTTCTAAGAAATTAAAAAAATTTACAATTTAAATTAAAAACATAAATCTGATTTTACTTTTAAAAATAAAATATTGAAAAAATTAACAATAAGTTAATAAAAAACATTTTAATATGCTCTTTTAACCCTAAGCTCTTAATTATATAATTTAAAATTATGAATTATAAATAAATTATCACTTTTATAGACTGTGCATATGGATCCTTGCCTAGATGACTGTATTATGTTTGCGAAACGATTAAAAAACTTAGGTAAAAAGGTAAAACTAGACATACTTAAAGGATTACCTCATGGATTTTTAAATTTAGCAGTAGTAAGTTACTATGTAGTTTAACATAAATCATAATTAAAATAAATTTTATTCAATTTTTCTAGACATGTAAAGAAGCACATGAAGGATCTGTTTTTTGTGCACAGCGCATTAGTGATATTTTTGAAGAATTACAAAATAGTACTAACCATTAGTTTTACTTCAAACAACATAAACAATTTTTTTATTAGCAAATACTCTATCAATATCTTTTTAATTACTCATCATACTTCTCAATTGATTTAATTGTGATATTTTTATTATTAGTGAATAAGAAGATAATACTTACCTATAAATCTAAACAAATGTTAATTTTTTTTATTATTATTATGTTATAGGATAAACATAGATCTAAATAAAAAAGTTATTATTATGACATATTTTTTATGCATATTTATTATTTTATACTGTATAAGTAACAGTATGTTTTTAAATGTTAGAAGTGTATTAATACAATGAACAAGTAAAAAATATATCTCAGTTTAGTCTTTTTTGTTGTTATTTGAAAGATGGTCATTTTTTCCATTTGTTATTTTGTGCCGTAGGCGCTTTTCCAATACATATGCATCTGCTGGTTCTATTCTTTTATAATAATGTTCTTTAGTTTCTACTATTTCAAAACCAAATTTTTTGTAGAATTTTATGGCACTATCATTGTTTAATTGTACATGTCTAAAAATAATAATATGAATACAAACAACATATAGTAAAAATACAGTACAAATTTAGTGATGGACTATTTAAAATTATTTAAAGCTTATATTAAATTAATATTAAATATTAAATTAAAAATAGTATTATTAAGGATAACCAAAATAATATTCTTTTAAAATTACCAAAATATAATGGTAATATTTTCTCAAAAAGTTAAAAATACTTTTGTAAGCATAAAAAGCAAATCATTTTTACTTTTATTAACCAAAGTACAAAATGTGTTTTTTTAAGGTATTACATTTGAATAAAATAAACTTAAAATAATCATTAAATTTTTAAAATGATTTTTTATAAATGATCTTTTCTTAAAATAATTCTTGTTATGTAATAAATTGTTACATACCTACAAAAAACATTAAAATTCCATCAAATTAATCAATATTTTTTTTTTTATGCAATACATTTTATATATTACTTTATTATGTAATATACTCAAATATCCAAAAAAAAATTATCATTTAATTAAACTCACAATTCTTTAAGATTTTAAACTGCCATTTTTTTCAGCCAATACTCCCAAAAAATGTGTACCAGAATAAAATTCCAACTTCTAACATGCACATTTTTAAGAATTAAAATGAATATGTCATTACATTAGTTGAAAACAATTAACTCTATATGATAATCATATAAAGGGTTTCTTAAAACTATTTTGAATAAAATTCATTTCAAAATAATACATTGAAACTACCCCCAAAAAATTAAATTACCCAGTAAAATATTTGTATGAACCTAATCTTTTTAATTTAGATGAAGTTTAAATTTTTCCTTGATTTCAAACAAAAACAGATTTTAAATCTTTAATTACTTACAGATAAACACTATCAAATGTACCATCATCCTTAACATAATTTAAGACATGTTCAACCATCATACTACCAATACCAAGTCTTCTATACTGTGATAGACAGCCCAAAGTCATAATATATAATCTACGCCCGACTTCTTGATCTATTCGACAGCATACTGCTCCAACCACAATGTCATTATAATATGCTTTAAAATTAAAAACATAAATTTAAAAGTTTAATGAAAGTTAAAAATTAAATGTTACCTAATTTAGCTAGTTCACCAGCTTCTAAAACATCTTTATAAAACTTTTCATTGTATGATACAGGAAATACAACTGTATTTAAACGTTTTAATTGTTTAATATTATGATGTGTTATTTCTCCCAGTTCCAACTTTGCTCTATAAACATCAACCACATGATTCATTACTATACAATAGTGATATGAAAATTAATAAATTAATCTATCATAAATGAAACCAAAACAAAAGATAATTATTAATCCAAATTATATGAACAATGCGGAGAAAATAAAAGATAAATTAAGAATATTATTTGTAATAGTACTTTTTAAACATTTAATTGAATATATAGTATAATCTTAAGACAATTTTTTTAAAATAAATATCAAAATATTTGCTAGTAATAATATATAAATTTAAAATAATTCAGTAATTGAAAATGGTATTCTTTAATAATTCTAATTTTGAGACTAATTAATTTTAAAAAATATCTTAAGTCTCACCTTGTCATATTGGAAAATAATTATTTTCATGTATCCTTCCAAGTTAACTACGGATGGCATAACACTGAGCACACTACATAAAAAGTATTGATAACATTATCCATGCGATATCAATAAACAATTCTACCAATATTATAATACTCAAAATAAACTAGTTAACTTCATAACACGGTGACAAATGTAGATTTGTTGTTGAAAACGTGCTTAAATCTAGACATGTTTAATTAGAAATACTGTTGGAATATTTTTAATAGTGTGCATTCAATTAATTAGTGAATAAGTAACAACGAGTAACTAGTAAATTAAATTACTACTCACATACTGAAGGCATACTTAGGGAAGAGAATAACTTGACACAACGCAAAAAATCATTAGTTGAAGATACTATTTAGATGATATCGTATCATAGGCGTAAATTGAGGGTACAGTAACGTACCCAGAGGAAGGAACACAGATAAAATGGCCCCCATTGACCATAACATCTGATTCCAAAATGAATATATAAGCAAAGATAAATGTACACTATTTGGGTTTGATTATTTGACTATGTTTCCTACCCATTTAAAAGATTATGGCTATACCACTTGGGGTGGGTGCTTGGCTACTTAACACGTTTAAATATTTAATTCAAAAACTGTATTTATTTTATTATACAGAGTGTTTAAAAAGTAAGGAATCAGGTCAATTGTTACAAACAATGAAAACGATAAAACTTTTCCTTACTTACTGAACACTATATACACAGTATAATATTAATTATTTTTTATAGGCACTCCTATAAAAAATCATAATCACACCACTATATCGATTATTAAATACACATTACAATAAAAGTCAATTTGTAGTTCAACTTCAAATTTTATAATTAAAGGATTACATAATACATTAGAATAAAATTTTTATACTATTCACATGTCCTGAGGTGTAGGTATATTTTGTTTTTCATGTGGATGTTTTAGAAAATAAAACCTTTAATTGTTTTTTGTAAAATGTAAAATAATTTTAATGAAATAGTTGAACTCTTGCCTTTATTTGCGTTATTGCTTTTGTCATGTATTGACACGATTTTAAAAGAAATCAATTATTACTATATTTCTATACTAAAAAACTACAGTGAATACTTAAAAATTATTTTAAAAGTGAACATAATTAAAAAAAGAAACTATAACTCACTTTTCATATTTTATGTTAAATAAATATGATTTTGGTTTAAATAATTACAGTAAAACAGTCTAATTTAAAAATCGCCACTTCAACCGGCATGCCAATAGCCATATCCCTATTCTGTTTAAATCTTTTCTTTTCATTCTCATTCTCATTCAGGATCACCGTCACGATTCATGACAAATTTTAAGCAAATCTTAAGTTATAAGACTTTTTAACACTCGACATTTTTTTGAGCAAATGTCAACCTTATCGGTTGGACTTTGTCCTCTCATAGTATTTTGTAAAATAATTTGTGCAATAGGTGCCTACCAATTATTGTTATCGCGTTTCTACCGTCATATTTTTTAAGAATCTAATATCCAATTCTAGACATTCTAGTAAACTAAATTTATTCACTAATTATATCATCATTTATTTTATCACTTGTTTAATTGGAAATACCAAAATGCAAAAGCAGTTTTATTTTATATTAATTATTGTAATATAAAAAAATAGCGATCCATCTTCATAAAATTATAGATATGTTCAGTAAGTAAGGAAACATGTTTTAATTGTATTCATTGTTTGTAATAATTGGTCTGTTTCCTTACTTTTGAATACTGTGTATATTAATGTATTTTTAGTACATAATAGAGTTATTTAAATATTTTAAATTGAAGTTCGTTATTCTATGAAAATTATTTGAACTTTTTTGATTTTACAAGAAACATTTATTACGTACAATGTATATTTCAAAATTAATATTGCGTTTTTGAGGTACTACAAACATCCTCGATAAATGACACTGAAATTATTTGACCCAAGTGACATATCAAAATAATTATTAAGGTTTTTAAAGTTTCTTATGGTTTTAATTTTAATTTCAATTACTACTTTTGGGCGGAAATAAACAAAAATTATAATAGCTCTCAAGGTTGTTGCACTTGCTGATAGATTGTCGGTCAGCTGATTGGGGTTCCGCCCAAATATTTTACACTCAGCATCATTCACCGCCAGTAGCAGCACTGCTAGAGTTGTGTGGTTTTAGATTCTTGTTTTACTGTTCTGAGTTTAGGTTACGCCCGTCAGTGCCGACCAATTTCCATCAACATATTTTGTAAGTATTACTAGCATAATTGTTTTATTGTTTTTCGCATTTTTATTACGTGTGTTAGAGCTTCATAACATTTACAAACTTATTATCCTAAAAAGAATTCCATTTTCCGTTATCAGACACTTATCAACCCTTTTGGTGGCACCCACCCAGTTCCCAATTGTGGCCGACACCCTCATTTAGAGTTTTTCAATCTAACAAACTATTATTTGACTACGTTATACGATTATAAATATTACGATTTTGGATATCTTAACAATATTCCTTCAACCAACTAAAATCCCTAACCTTTTTTATATGGGACCCGCCTTGTTTTCAATGACAAAATCGCACTCTTTAATTAAGTCAAATTATCATTGTTTATGATCTTGGATTTTAACATCTTGAATTAAACGGTTAAAGTTATTTATTTTTATTATATAATCAAATAATGAATTACTTTAATGTAAATATAAAGTGACTTGGATTTAGATTATGCATGATGCTTGAAGTGTGAATTTGATTTATGAATGTACTTCTCAGTGAGCTTTACACATTATAATTACAGAGTTGTTTTTAAAGTTTAGTGTTTAATATAGTAATATTTAATATATTAAGTTATTGTCTAAAATATAAATTATAGTCAATCATATTAAATTAAGTTAGAAAATCTTTTAAATATTAATAAAGTACTGTTTCATATAACATTCATAACTGTTAACATAAGTTTACAACATTCATAATCATTAATTTTCTATGATATAAATATGTGGAATTCAATTGTTTCTTGTTGTAGAGTTATTGGTAACACTAAAAGATTTAATTAAAATCTAATATATCACTTTTTTAAAATATAATCTAATTTTTTTTTTATATTCTTGGTACTTATAATTACATTGTTTTTTAGTAAAATTATATTGATTTTTTTTTTCATTAAAATTGTGTAGCATTCTTTGGACATGACAACAGTCATCCTGTTGATTATCATTAAAATGTTGAAATAATTATTCTGAGTAGTCAATTTGTATTTTATTTATATATTATAAATATATACTAAAATTATTTTGGTATTTAATTTCTTCAATATAGGTTCAAAATATTTTGAAAATAATTATAATTTTTCATATTAAATGTTCATTTAGATTCTACATTGCATTGTTATATCTTAGCCAATAATTAAATTTTATAAATATAGAAAAAAACAATACAAAAATGACTTCATTAAAGACATTTGAAGATGAAGATCGAGAAAGTTCTTACGGGTTTGTGTTTGCTGTGTCAGGACCTGGTAATTATTTCAATATATATTGTTACCTTTCATAAGGTAACTAATTTGTATTGCCAAAATAATTTAATTAATATTTATCTATAAAATAGTTGTTACTGCTGAAAAGATGTCGGGTTCAGCTATGTACGAACTTGTCCGAGTGGGCTATTTTGAACTTGTTGGTGAAATTATTCGTCTAGAAGGTGACATGGCAACTATACAGGTATAAATGAATGTTATGATGACCTTTTTATAATAAGACTTAAAAAAATAAAAATATTATTATGTAAAATGTTGATTTATAAACAATATAATATCTATTTTAATCAAAGTTTACAATATTGAGTTATTATGTTTAAACTTAGATATTTAACAATAAAATAAAGAACCATACATTTTTTTGTTCATGTTAGGTTGAGTCTGTTAGAAACATCTGAAATGTAATATATAAATATACTTTTATTTTAAAATATATGCATAGTAAAATTTATATAGAGTGTTTAGTAAGTAAGGGAACTGGTTTCTATTGTTCTTATTGTTTATAATAATTTTGTTTTCTTACTTACTGAACACTGTATATATGCTCTTTTTTTTTTTTTTAGACTAGATAGTATTCGATGATTATGTTTTTCTCCCTTCATAGTTAGGCAACATTTCAAAATAATTTTACTTATAATTTAATATTAAATTAAATTACAGTAATATGTATTATGTATTAAAAATAATATTTTACCATAGGTTTATGAAGATACTTCAGGTGTAACTGTTGGTGATCCTGTCCTGAGAACTGGAAAACCATTATCTGTTGAATTGGGTCCAGGAATTATGGGAAGCATTTTTGATGGTATTCAGCGGCCATTAAAAGACATTAATGAATTAACACAAAATATTTATATTCCAAAGGGTGTAAATATTCCTGCTCTAGCTCGTGATGTTTCTTGGGAGTATAATCCATCTAATATTAAAAATGGAAGTCACATAACTGGTGGTGATCTTTTTGGTCTTGTACATGAAAATACACTTGTTAAACATAGGTTAATGTTACCACCTAAAGCTAAAGGAACTGTAGTATTCCAAGCCCCACCAGGAAACTACAAAGTTGATGTAAATAGTTTGTTACATTATCCTTTTTTATGAGTCAACAATAGTTCTAAATATGTGATATATTAGGATATTATTTTGGAAACCGAATTTGATGGAGAGAAATCATCATTTACTATGCTTCAAGTTTGGCCAGTACGTCAGCCCCGACCTGTAACTGAAAAACTACCAGCAAATTATCCTCTTTTAACTGGGCAGCGAGTACTTGATTCTTTATTCCCGTAAGAAACTATTTAACTTTTTTCTTTAATAAATTAATTAATTTAAATGAACTAATGTTTAGTAAAATTTTCTTTGATTTTCAGTTGTGTTCAAGGTGGTACAACTGCAATTCCTGGAGCTTTTGGTTGTGGTAAGACTGTGATATCTCAAGCTCTGTCTAAATATTCTAACTCTGATGTCATCATTTATGTTGGTTGTGGTGAACGTGGTAATGAAATGGCTGAGGTAACTTTTTTAGTAGTGTAATTAAATTAATTATGTTTGAAGATTAAAGTTTTAATAAATTTTAACTTTGGAAAATCTAAAATAAAAATGTAAAATGTAATTCCCTTGCATTTAACTAATGTATCAATATATTTACTAAAACATACATTTATAACTTGTACTTCAATTTTTAGGTATTAGGAGATTTCCCAGAGTTATCAGTTGAGATTGATGGTGTAACAGAATCCATTATGAAAAGAACAGCACTTGTTGCTAATACTTCTAACATGCCTGTAGCTGCTAGAGAAGCTTCTATTTATACTGGTATATTATCACTTTTTTATATTTCATTAGTTAATTGTTTAATTATTGTATATATTGAAATCTATCTGTAATTTAAACAGGTATTACCTTGTCGGAGTATTTTAGAGATATGGGATACAATGTATCAATGATGGCAGATTCAACATCTCGTTGGGCTGAAGCTTTGAGAGAAATTTCTGGTCGTCTTGCTGAAATGCCTGCTGATAGGTATGTAAAATATTAATTTTTTTAGTATAATCTGTTATGAAATCTATATAAATTATTATTATTTTAATAGTGGTTATCCTGCTTATTTGGGTGCTCGTTTAGCATCATTCTATGAACGTGCAGGCCGTGTGAAATGTTTAGGTAATCCAGAGCGAGAAGGTTCTGTTAGTATAGTTGGAGCTGTAAGTCCCCCTGGTGGTGATTTCTCTGATCCTGTAACATCTGCTACCTTGGGTATTGTACAAGTGTTCTGGGGTTTAGACAAAAAATTAGCTCAACGTAAACATTTCCCTTCTATAAACTGGCTTATATCATACAGGTATTAATTAAAATTTTTCAAGTTAGTTTACTTACTAATTATTTTCATGTTTTACAACAGTAAATACACAAGAGCATTAGATGATTTCTATGATAAAAACTTCCCCGAATTTGTACCATTAAGAACAAAAGTTAAAGAAATCTTGCAAGAGGAAGAAGATTTATCAGAAATTGTCCAACTGGTTGGTAAAGCATCACTTGCTGAATCTGATAAAATAACATTAGAAGTTGCCAAATTATTAAAAGATGATTTCTTACAACAGAACAGGTATATAAGAATAATATTTTCAAATAATCAGGATATAGGCTAAATTGTGGTAGTATTCATTACTAGAGTTTAAAGATAAATTTTTCTTTTTTATTATTTAGATTTATAAACTCACAATTTTTATCTGTGTTAATTGTAGAATTATGATATTATGTTGTTTGTATTTAAATGGTATTTTATTTTTACTTATTTTATGTAATGCCTAATTATTTTAATACTAGCCATTTATAAAAATGACAAATTTTAAATTATTTCTGTTTCTTTTAATAGAATACTAAAAATTTTTATAGTATAGAACAATTTATAATAAATGTTTCAAATGTATTATTATATTAAAATAATATATTGAAAAAATCTTTCAGTTATTCTCCTTATGATCGTTTCTGTCCATTCTACAAGACTGTTGGAATGTTAAGAAACACTATTGCTTTTTACGATATGGCTCGTCATGTGGTTGAATCAACAGCACAATCTGAAAATAAAATAACATGGTCAGTTATTAGAGATAGTATGGGCAACATACTATATCAATTATCATCAATGAAATTTAAGGTATATTCTTTAATGTTACATTAATTAATCCTTTTTAGTTAAAGTTAATAATAATAGGAATCTTAATAAAATAATTTGTAATTTTAGGACCCTGTTAAAGATGGAGAAGCTAAAATTCGAGCCGATTTTGATCAACTTTATGATGATATTCAACAAGCTTTCAGGAATCTGGAGGATTAATTTGTTTTTGTTAATATCTTGTTGTTCGTAAATTTTTTTAAAACAAAACAAAAAAAGTGAAAAAAAAAAACATTATTTAATGATAATTTGTTGTTTTCTTCGAATTTTCACAAAAATTAGTGCACAACATATTAATGAAACTAAAGGATGTAAATTTTTTTATTTGCAATCCTATTACTTATGTCATCATCATCATATTTTTAAGAAATGTTATAATTTATTTTTTATTTGGCATTCCATTTTCATAGATTTCTGTCATATAAGCTAATTTAATATTTTTTAATTCGACAATAAGCAACATGTGAATTTTACAAATTCGTTTAAATTTAAAAAATTATTTTCATCTAAAAAGAGCTACACATCCATCATCATGTAAATAATCTTTAAATTACCAAATTTCCTTTAATAAGCTGTAAAAATTTAAGAATAAAAGATAGTGAACCATATTAGCATTTATTTACTTAAAACCTAAATTAAATATTGGCATTTTTTTTTTTTTATCAAGCCAAATATTCTATATTGTTTTTTGTTTTTTGTCAATGATTGTTGTTTTAACTTTTAAATATATATTATAGTTTATGAATTATAAAATAATGTAGGGGTTTTATTCTTATGAGAGAGTTACAACTTAAGAGTACTCGCTAAATTTAATATTTGTAAAATATTAGTTATTCTGTTATCAGTAATTATAACAAATACATTCCAAATTATTATAAAATTATATGTATTTATATTCACTTCAGTACCTTTTATTTACTAAATATTTTTTCAATTATATCCTATGTTTAAAATACAGGTATATATTAAAATGTTACTTTTATTACAACTTGAAAATATGAATAGAAAAAAATATATTGAAGTTATTAACTTTTTTTATGGATAACAAAAAAAATTATTCATAATCTTGTGTTTTTCATTTAAAATTTATCTGAGACTAATATAAATAATTTAGTTTAGTCTCATAGTAATTTTTATATTACCTATTGTAAACATAAATAAATAAAAATTTATAATCTAATGAATGTGATAAATAAAAATAAAAAAATATTCTTTAATTCTCCTTAAGACTTAAATTCTCTACCCTTTTGAGTTATTTTCAAATTTCATCTCAGACATTGTTGGGATAATAGATACCAGTCATTGGGGCCTTGTAAAAATATATATAATAGTATAAACAACTGTTTCTACAAAAAATATAATGATATAGAGTACGTAAGAATACTCTAAAATCTAATTGTTTTTTTTTTATTTAGTAATTTAGTGAACTTTAATTATTGTTTTAATATTATTGCAATGGAGTCAATACTGTACAGACTAATAAAAGTTTAATTAACATTTTATAAAACAAAAAGATTATATACTGAAACCATTTATAGTTTATTATATACAAAAATAAGATATGTTACTTAATATTTAATTATAACAAACATAATTTTGAACACTACATAACAAATAAGTATTCCAAACTTTGCATACATTAAAAAAACATAACATTATTTTTTGGTTTTGCATAATATTTATGGGAACATTAAATCAAAATTATTCATAATACAATTTTATTTAATTATGAAACATGAAATTATGTTATTGTTGAAACAAATACAACTACTATAAATATAACTAAAATAAAAACTACATAAATCTGACTTCTTTTAAAATAGAGATCAAATAACAACCAACACAAAACACGAAAATTAAAATTTAATATACTTATAACAAAATATACAATACAGTCTATAAAATATTTTTGATACAAATTATAATTGTTTATACTTTATACTAAATAGATACAAATAAATCTGTACAAAGTGAAAAATAAGAATTCTTCAATAAAAAATAATTATTAACTGATATTGTTATTCAATTTAGTTTAAAATTTCAAGTTAACAACTTGACATAAGATTTTTTTGTTGTAAATAAATATTGCTCAATAAAATTTTTTGCCTTGCATTAATATACATTTAATTTTATTAGGAAAGAAAATTTAGATCTAACTAATTTGTTTTTACATAATTTGTGTAACAATTGTAGATAAAAATTATTTTTGTAAGTATAAAATTTTAATTTTCTATAAGAGTAAATTATTTTGTGTAATATAAGAATTCATTTTTTTCTCTTTTTAGTTCATACTAAAGCACATACATTTATAAAATATAATAGTACAATACATCAATTATTTAATTAAATTTACAGTATTTTTATAGAACAGCTAAAAATATAAGCTAAATAACAAAGGCTACATTACCTTTTTATGTTTATTAAGCCAACTCAAAAATAATATTTAATAAAAAGAAACAATAGTTCAAGTGTCATAATATTCAAGATTATTTTTCAAACAATAAAACTCTATTGGTCTACTTTTAATTTTTGATAAAAATATCTATGAATAGTTATAAAATATAACTTTAAAAATTATTTTATTTTGACTAAGTTGTTCTCCATAGCACTTCATTAATATAAGGTATTTATTCTACTTTCAATATGATTATCTTTTACTAGAAATAAAACTGAAAATCAAAACAATAAAACATTAAAATACAAATATTCAAATTATTACATAAGTATTTATATTGTCACTCACGTAAAGTTTGGTAACCCATGCTCATTTTTACCCATATTTTAAAGATATGTATTAAGTCAAAAACGCATATATTTTAGAGATTGATTTCTTACGACAGCAACAATGAGCATGAGTAGCCAATCTTATGTGAGCGGCAATATATATGACACTCAGGAAAATAAACTGTTCTGAAATTAAAAAAAAAAAAAAACTGTATCTTGATAAAATATTAGTATATATATATATATTATTCATCCCCTTCTTGTTTTAGAAAAATAGCATATTATCAATATAATTTAATGTATCAATTTATTTTCACTCTTGATTCCTTAACATTTTATATTTTATAATACAAATTATATAATAATTTATAATACACATATAATCCTTAAATTTATATAAAAAGTTTGCTCAGAGTATACAGAGTGGTCCAGGATATTTTTTTTAAATCTAATAATTTTTGATTTACAAAATATTTTGTGTTACTTTTTAGCTTCGATGTGAAGCAGAGAAGGTATAAATTTACTATGATGCGTTTTTCTTTAATTTTTTTTTTTTTTGTGTCTGTTACCACTTTTTCTCAGCTCTCACCAAACCAATTTCAACGAAACGTAAAAGATCACAATTCGTATCTAGTCGAAGACATTACCCTCACAAATTAAAAAAATTTCCCTCGTTCCCCGTAAATGGGGGAAATCTCCATAAAAATTACAAATTTAAAAATAGATAATTTTTGAAATTTTTTTACTTAAAACTGCCATGACTTTTTCAATAATGATTATATCAATATAATTTTTTATATAAATTTATAGATGCATAATGTTTTTACCTATTATTTGATATATATTTTTTTATAAATTTGACCCTTTACCTGCCCACGAGGGGATTCAAAATGACAACTTTTTCAACTTAACTTTAAAGTGTTCCGGAAATACTGACACTTTTATATATACCTTAAATTAAAGATAATGTAATATACTTTATTATTAAAAAAAAAAATGTTGTATTTTATTTTGTCTTCACAGTGAATACAGTCATCAAAATTAATAAAAAAAATACGATTTTTGAAAAAAAATAATTTTTTATATTTTTAACTTTATAACGCTATAACTTTTTGAAAAATGTATGAATCAATATAATTTTTTTTTATAGATGCATAATGTCTTTATCTATTATTTGGTATATTTTTTTTATAAATCTGATCCTTTACCTGTCCACAGGGGAGATTTAAAATAACAACTTTTTCAAACTTAAATTTTGATAGTGTTCTGGAAATACTGACACTTTTATACATTTCATAAATTAAAGATAATGTATGGATCAATATAATTTTTTTATGAGAAATAATATTTATATCTCTCTTTCATTCGACATACTTTATTTTAATCAGGATATAAATAAGGAAATAGAAGACCATGTAGCTTTTGGAATAATCCATCAATTTTTTAAAATTAAACATTATCTATATTTGCATAGAAGCGTTTTTTATGATAGTGATTTTAATCAATGTCAAATATCATTATACTTGACCCACATCCCCATTGTTCTGGGTTTTTTAAAAACAATTTATGCATCCTAAAACTATGTTAAAATAATACTTTTTATTATTTGTTTTTAAAAATAATAATAATAATAACTAATATTATTATTATTGTACTTCCTTATTTATTATTGTATTATAGTTCCTCAAAAATATTTTAATCTTGTTTTTTTAATTTTCTACGATTTTAATTTACAAAATCGTAAAAAAAAAAAAATCATTTTTATATAATAGAGTATTTAAATTTTAAGTCAAATTTTGAGAGTACAATTTATTAATATGACTGATTTTTAATATTTTTATTATTTTAATGTTTTNGAGAGTACAATTTATTAATATGACTGATTTTTAATATTTTTATTATTTTAATGTTTTTGGATTAAACAATAATATTGAAGATTTTTATAAACTAAATATAAGAACAATTGAAAATATAAATTTCATTATCAATCAACTAATTGACACAGTAATATGTTTCTTACTGCCTCACTCTAGATAATCAAGCTAAACGAAAGTGTAAAAACACGTGAAACACAAGTGATAAGATTCGTTTTTACAAAGCTTTAGGTTGTAGTTTCTTAACCTATATATGACTTTTTTTTCACATGATATTCGATACACTTTCGAAGAATAGTCATCCCAATCTCCATCTGTCTTGTTATAATGTTATTGAAGTCAATCAATGTATTAAGTAAAATAAAAATTATATTTTTTAATATAACTTAACTTTTAAAAATTGTAGAAATTAACTTTTTTAATCTTATATTACAGCACAGTCTTAAGATATTTAAACAAGAATTTTGTTATTATTATATTATAAAAATATAATAATAGTTACCTATCTGATAAAAGTCCATGTTGAGATAAAAGTCTTCGAAGTTCTTCATTTTCCAATCTTAAATCATAATTTTGTCTTTTAATTGACTCCATTTCTTTTACACAGTCCATTAATTTTTGATTTGATGATTTTATCTCATTAATATAATCACACGCCTTAGCAAGGATACCACCCTTACTCTGGTTCATTATTCATCAATCAACAAATTCATAAAAAATTAATCATGTGATAAGTTTAACAATTTTTAATACTTCTAATGGTAAATAATTAATTTCTCATAATAAAATACCAGTTTAAATGTGTAAAAATTCGAGCAGTACCAACGCATGAATCTTTAAACTACTGTAATCTTAAGATTTTGTAAGCCAGAACAAAAATAATGATAAATAAAAAAAATAATATCATTATTAACTTAAAAAATACTTAAATGACTAAAAATTTATTTTTGGAGATTTTACATTTTAATTTAAAAAACATCAGATATATTATTTACTATAACCTCAAACTCACAAGGATGGCACTGACTAAGTTATTTAAAATATATATAAAATAACAATAAAAACTTGATTAAATTGAAATAATATAAATACCTGGTTATCATAATTGGTTTTATTTTCCTCAACACAATCTGGTATAATTTTGCTCATATACATTATCCATTGATTTATTTTATCACGTCTACGACGTTCTACTTCATTGTGAGTTAATCTTCTTTTAGCATCTCTCTAAAAAAGTAAAAAATATATTAGAAATTTCACATTTCAATTAAAAATTAAATCCTTTTCCTTACATTTACTTATATTTATATTTTGTTTTAAAGGTGAAAAATTATTTATTTACAAGTAATTGTAATCTTAGAGTAAATTAAAAAGTATTTAGATTAAAAATAGTGAAACCTATTAAAATGAAATTTCAGTAATTAAAAAGAATGAAGGTACAAAATTTGTATAATTAAAAATATTTTAGCAGTATTCTTGAATAAATAAAATGATATAAAACAAGAATACTTACAGTAACAACAGTACGATCTACTCGTTTATTTCTAGAAACTTCATTATTTAATGGAACAACAATAGGCCTTTTAATAGAAGTATTTGTAGTAAATATATCATTTATTGGTTGAACAACGTAAAATTGAGCTAAAACATTTATGATTCAATTGTTTTAAACATTGATTGAAAATTAATTTAATTTTGAAAACATTTAATAAATTCAATTTATAATCAGAAGCTATACTATAAATTTGCTTTGAAGTTTAATATAAGTAAACATACTAGTATTATTATTTGGTCTAATTTCATACTGGGTAATATTTGTATCATTGGCTTTACCCATAACAATTCCAGTAACATTACCATTTTCAATAACAGCAGCTGTAGGTTGTTCATCAGTTGATTCTAATGATACGTCTTCATCTGTAACAATTAGTGTTTGTGTTGCTAGTATGTTTGGTTCAAGTTTGATAAGTTGTCCACTACAGTAACATGAAATAAAAAAACATATATACATTTTATATAAAATAAATTTAACATTTTATCTAATATATAACAAAATATAAATTTTTGTTTTGTCCTAAATAATAGTACTAATTTTACACATATTGTCTATTACTTATTGTCAAGAATAATGTAATTCTCAAAAAAATTAGTTTTATAGATAAAGTAAAATAAAGTATCCAATTTTATTCAATTTATATGTACATCAATTATTTTCAATAAAAATTTGTGAAAACTATTATAGCTACATGAAATTTTCCTGGATTGATATCAAGTATTTTTAATTCATGTCAATTTTTAAGCCAGAAAAATCAAAAATTTTTGTTCTTGTGATTAGGTGAAATATAATGTTGAGCCAAGTAGTAGTAATATAAAAGGTGAATACTAAAGAATTCTATTAAACAAGAAAAAAATGCAATTTTAATGATGAAGTAGGCTTTATTAGTACTATTTTTCTAATTAAATTAAAAAACTTTATAACTTATGACTGACAATAGTGCAACTAATCATAAATGATAAAACTCCACACTACACTATATACTTATTATAAATCTATTATTGAAAATTAAAAAAAAAAGAAAGTTTGATTAATTACCTAACATTTATTGTATCATCTGAAAGTTTAATCGACGACATGATTTATGTTGTTCAAAAGATGGTATAAAAATATACAGGTACATACAATAATTGATTTTTTTTTTTTGAAAATATATTAAGATTGTAATTACAATCAAAAACACATAATCACAATTTACATAGTTCATACAATTTTATCAAAATAATATTTAATATTGATTTAAATTTAATATTTCAAATAGTCATACATAAAACTTTTAAAACTTCTAAGTTGAACGATAACAAAACAATATTTTTATCAATTCCATAATTTGAATTTAAAAGTGAAATGGGGTTATTGGAATACCATCATGATAAGAATACAACCACAGACTATATGAAAAGTCACATAGTCTGTGATATAATCAATTTGAATAATTTTCAACGAATTATTTATGTTTAGCACACATTATCAAAAGATTTGATGTTTGGTTAAAAAATAATAAAATTTTCAGTTGGTTAATCAATATTATATAGAAAACATTCTTTATTCATTTTATAATAATTTGGAACTATTCGTAGCGACCATTTGCACTACCCCCATGTAAGGGACATACTCGTCTAGACTTAGATAAATAGAATTTTTATTAAGTAATCAAATAAATTAATAGAATTAAAAGGTTCTATTTAAGAAGACATTTTCTGTGAATTAATTAAAACTACAGTAGAACTCCAATTATCCGAACTCCGATCATCCGAATCGCCGATTATCCGAATCACTTTCAGAAAAAATCAGAAAAAAATTTGTCCAAAGTCCGCGGCGTCAGTGTAGGCACAACACGTGGTAAGAGTTCCCACTCCAGTTCCGGCGCATTGCAGTCACCTGTCATTGTTTATTTTGATTAGTCAGTGAATGGGTCCCGGTCCCCATTAATTCGGATAATTGGAGTTCTACTGTATTAATCAAGTATTTTAAAAGCGATAATGTTTAATTATCCAATTATAAATATATATTAGGANAATTTTTATTAAGTAATCAAATAAATTAATAGAATTAAAAGGTTCTATTTAAGAAGACATTTTCTGTGAATTAATTAAAACTATTAATCAAGTATTTTAAAAGCGATAATGTTTAATTATCCAATTATAAATATATATTAGGTTACGGGGCTTAAAGCATTTATAAAATTTCAGTCTTCCTAAACTTCATAATAATAAATAGATAATCGTGTTTTTTTTTAATAAACAATTTAAATTATTTAACAATTTATTTATCGAGGGCATTAATGATCATCTCCCCCAAAAAAGATCTCTATGATACTGTTAGCCTCTACAATAAATTTCCATGTAGTTAGTCCAAAAATAATTCTTTAAATGCTGTTGGCTCCAAGCCCTGATAATAAGTTGCTAATATTAATATAAAATTTACCAGATTAATTGACCTCTTAAGTATTTTATAATTTTAAAATTGGTTATAACAAATTTAATAAAACAATATTTACAATGTCATTAATTATTATTTGGTAGCACGTATATGGTGGTGATATAATAATTAATGGTATAATTTATTCATTACAGCTCAGACACAAAAAGATGTTAACTTGTAATAGGAGCCATCCTTAAGATTTGCCTAAGGCAAAAATAATTAGTACAATTTATGTAATTTCTATTACAAGCAGAAGGCCCTAATTTAATAAAAAAGTGTGAGGTCCATGGCATATGCTCTGTTGACTCCCTTTAAGAACAGATCTAAATATCATATAAACAAAATATGTACTTAAAAAAGTAATACTTTTTCATATTTAGATTTTAAAATGACATTCAGGCAGTAGCGTATTTATACGGGAAGCCCTTTGGTTTGGTTTATGTCCCCATGGACATAAAACTGTATAGTGCGGAGATTGTGGAAGAGTGAATCTTGCCAATACTGCTTTTAAAACTATCTAGACCTCCTCTTACAAAATGTCTAAATACACTACTGCAATCGAGTATTGTTCATTTTTTATTAAAAAATATAAACAAATAAAAAAATTTTTTTTTTTATTATCAAATATATTCAATGGAATGAAAAAATAACAAAATTTACATTTTGAAAAAATTACATAACAAACTAATAAGTAAAATAAATACATGCACATAAAATAAAACGAAGCATAAATTAACATAATACCAGTAAAAAATTTAACAAATAAAGTATCACCAATAATGCTGTTAGAAGAAAATTGCAATAAAGTCCAGTTGAATATGTTATGATAAGTAAGACAAATAATTATTTCATAAGAGCTGCAACTACAGCTTTAGCATTCAATGATTTAAGATCAGTATATGTTTGTCCAGTTCCTACAAATACTATAGGTTGACCTGTGATATAAGTCATTGATATAGCAGCTCCAACCTAAAGTACAAAATAAAACTATAATATAGTAAAATTATTTTATTATTTGATTTATATTTATTTCAATATTACATTCAATGAGGATACTTTCATCTATTTAGCGCATTAATTTCTAGTTAATAAAAGTACATTACCTTATCATCAATAGTGTCAAATTTGGTAAGAACAATTCCATCAATTAAATGAGGATTTTCTGATGAAGAATAATCTGCCAAAGCTTGGTTGAATTTAACAAGCTGGTCAACTGCTTCATTACCAACCAATGCTTCACCAACAAATAACACCATATCAGGTTCATTCACTTTAATTAACTAAGAAGTAATAAAAACATTGCTTTAATTAAATACAGTCAGTACTTTTAATAAAGAAATATTCATACTTGATTTTAAAATAAATAAAATTTTGTAAAAGGAAAAAAAATGTTAAATATGAAAAACTACAATTCAATAATTAGTTACAGAAATGAATAGTTTTACTTTGGTAAGGGCACGCATCAAAGGTTCATTGTCTTGCATTCGTCCAGCAGTATCCACTAAAACAACATCATATTTTGCTTCTTTAGCATAATTAATAGCTTCATTAGCAATACCAGCAGCATCTTTTCCTATGAAAAAAAAAAACTTGAAATCATTTAAAGTAAAAAATTGTTTATTAGTTTTATTTGCATTTTCTTAATGCAAAATCTTATTAATACAGAATATGTTAAATGCATTTATAAATTAGTTTTGTTATTAAAATATATCAAATCTGTCAATAAAAAATGATGATAAGTAAAATTATTCACGAATGGATTATTTAAAGTTGATAGGTTGTCAATTAACAAAATATACTAACCATAGCCTTTTTCATAAAGCTGTACCATTTGTTGATTATTATGTCTTTTAGCAGGATGCAAAGCATTCAAGTGTTTTGTATGCGTTCTTAGTTGTTCAACTGCACCAGCTCGAAAAGTATCACATGCAGCTATTAACACTCTGAGATTATTTTCAATCAACCAAAAACATATCTGAAAAGATATAACTCATTAAAATTATAGTTTTCAGTACTTCTTTTTTTTACACACTTTGGCAAGATTAGTAGATTTCCCAACACCATTTACTCCACAGAATGTAATAACATAAGGCTTGTCATTTTGTTTTGCAGTCATAGCATCTCTTAAAATATCAACTCGTCTTTTAGGTGAAAGTATTTGAACTAAAGACTCAATCATAGTGGTTTTAACAGTTGATGCAACAGATTCAAATGATCCAAGCACCTATCAATAAATTAACTCAATTATAATAAGAAAGCCAGTGAAATATCTGACAATAAACAAATTCAAAACAACGCAATATAATAAATTACATATTTTCTATAGTGTATCATAGATTTAAATATTTTTAACCATCACAAAAATTAAAAATAATTATAATGGTCATTTTTGGTAATATGATATGTTTATATTTTTTTAATTAATGCATACAATAAAAAATAACAAAAATGTTAATGTTTTACCACTCAAATTATGTAACTAGACAAATTATTAAAAAATATATATAATACTTTTCCATCTAGTTTTGAAGAAACTGAATCACACAATTTTGTAGCTATTTCAATGGCTACATTTTTGGAGGCTAAATGTTCTCTCAATTTTTCTAAAACAGGATCCATGTCAGATGCTGTAAGATTTTTTCTTCCAACTAAACCCCTACAATATATTGAAATATTAAAAAAAAAATTAACAGATGTTATTAAATAATTTTGTTTACTTGAACATGGAGAATACACTTTTTTTTTCGTCATTTTTCTTTTTTCGATCAGCAGCTGTTTCAAACTTTTCTTCTTCACCACTGTCTTCAATTTCACTATCACTTTCAATTTCTATGTCCTTAATGTTTCCTTCCATTTGTCCAACAATCTAAAAATTAATAATAATTATAGCTTTAACTTTGAATAAATATTACCTCTACATAACGTGTTTCTTGACAAAAGGAACAAAAAAAATGTTCAGTCATCATCTTTTCAACTTTAGGTCATCATAAAACTAAATAATACATTTATAAAAATTGCACATTCCAAGGAAAATAAAATTAATATATATAGAAGTTTTTTAGAAGTGTTAACTAAATAGTAATTTCTTTATATTAAAAATACACTAAGCATAATCTGAGATAATCTTAAGTGTAAAACTATGTGTTACCAAGTGATATATAATTTTTTAATTAGTCTTAACTTCAGAAGTTGATACCGGAAACTTTTTCAATTTGTTAAAACAATGTAATTTCATAATTTTTTAGAATATTATTAAATTGTCTAAATTATATTGAACTATAGGATACAATGTGAATTTATCATACTTCATTGTTAGCTTCAATATTTTGTTCACTGTCAGGATTATTATTCGCTTTATCTTTCGTATAATCTAATGAACTGACATCTTTAACATTACCTCCTAAAGGCCAAGTACGAGGTTGTTTAGCAGCTTTTGGAGATGGCTTCAGAGTTTTACTAAAAGTAAAAAATTATTTAGTAACAAACATTATAATTTTTTTTTTTTAATAAGAAATTTACTCTTTATTTTTTTTTAATTTACAAGAGTTCATAGCACCCATTTTTTGAGCCATTTTGAATCGGTTTTGGGCAATAATATCTTCATCGTTAAATGTAACAATATTCTGCTGTACATCAGAAATTCCATTTTTCTGAAGTTCAACTTTTCCTAAAAAATACAAAAACAATTTAAACTATGTTTAAAAATAAAAAAAATTAGTTATTAAAAACATTTTTTTCTTTATTGAAGTTTGTCATTAAAATTCAATAAAAATTAAATTTGAAATAGTGTAAATTAAATGAAGAGAAAAATTATTTTTCTTGTTCATTAAAATTCTAAATAAATATCTTACCATTTTTTTTATTCTCTTTGTCATTTTCTCCTTTTTTTTCAATCATTGACGCAACAGTTTTCTTTGACTTGATAGATTCATTATAAGACCTCATTTGTTTTGGAATGTTTGCCTGTATTTTGCCCCATTCTTCAGCTGACTTTAGTACTTCATGAAAATTTCGAGTAAATTCAAAGTTCTATAAAATGTAAATGAATAGTGAATATATGAAAAAATAAATTTTTTATATGTACAAATTTATAGATATTACCATAAAATAATTTTTTCGACTTAAGTCATTTTTGTACTTATCTCTAAACTCCAATTGTATGTCATCTAAGAACTTATCAACATAAGAGAGCTGAAGAATTTTTTGAAACGCTATCACAAATACTAAGTCAAACTCATTGTCTAAACGATATTTTAAGGACAAAGAATCTTGTGTATAATTATTGTTACTGCCGGTCCTTTCCTAAAGTAAATATTTTTAAATTATAACTAATTATGTATTATGTATTCTATAGACTTTAACTGTTCTTTAAAACTTTAAACTTAATATTAATAACTAAGTAATAGAATGAAAAATTACAAATATTGAGAAAGTATAATGATTAATTAACTTTTATACAGAAATAAGTTTGAACAAAATATACTATTTTATCAGTGCAAGTTATGATAGTATAACTTGATATATTGATGTTTACTTTTTAGATAAATTTTAATTCATCATAAAATACAAATTTCAATTAAAATATTTGTATTTCTATACCATACACAAAGTTATTTCAGTTATACATGATAAGATACACCTTTAAATAAAAATAAAAATTAAATATATATATTTTTTTATTATGTCATTTAAGTATTCATAAGTATTGATTTTACCAATCAATTAGATATATATTTACATTTTATTATAAAAATACATTCTATTTTCTAAACAAAATAAATTTATAACCATATTTTACCTGAAGAATTATAGTTTTTATCAAAGAATTTACTGAAGGTACAAATAATTGACTAATTTGGCTGGTACTTTGGAAACACCATAAAACAATGCCACCTTTGCTGAATATTGTAAAAAGATCCAACATTTTGAATAATTAACTCACAGTAGAAAATATAATTGAAATATGTTTGTTATTACAAACGTGTACATTTAATTAAAACTACTATTACTTCTTAATTTATATTTTACAACAACTTGCGATTACGTTGTTTATCATAAACGTAATACGTAATCAATTTCACTTCAAAAACAGCTGTATAAATATTGAAACGTGTAGTTACCACTTTTACCATAGATAAGCCAAAGCAATCAGATTATTGACAACCGATTTTTTGCTAATTTAAATCTGTTGAAAAATATAAAATATTTAATAACCGTCCAGTTTGTATATTTAGGTAATACCTGCGAATATCGAAGTACGGCTGACATCCTCTAGCACAAATTAGAACCATTACAATAACAACCAGTCATTATTAAAAGGCAATTGCCTATTATATGATTTAAATGAAACATTTCATTTTACATACGAATTCATTGAAACATCATAATGTATTTTTTGTTTTATTAATATTCATTTACATTTCACTATTATTTGTGATTTTAAATTTTCTCTTAATATTGAGAATCTTTATATTTACATAACAACTCCTCGCTACTGATTTGTCAAAACATTTTAAAAATTGGGTCGAAAAAAAAATGTACGTGCGTGGATGGTCTCTTTCAAACAGTTTCCTATACTTATATTTTTTATACAAATCATATCAAAAGAAAGCTAACTACGTCTTGTATACTGAATTAAAATTTAATTTATAACACTGTTTTAAAAATCATTAATCGATCATTTTTCAAAAAATTATACAATCATAAATTTGGGTTTTCTTGTTTATATTTACTGCATGAAAAATAACATATTTATTTCTTCGTAATGATCGTAAGTTATCGCATAATAACTTTAATTGCAATAGTATATAAATTTATATCATATAATATAGTTCTATATATAGAACTAAATATTTTTATTTAAAAAATATATTAACATTGCAAATCAATCCTTTAAGCCCCCCATACACGGTCAGTTTTGAATGACAATCAACGTGATTGACAGTCAAGTGTGATCATTGACTGACGATTGATGACAAACATATACGGTCAATCAAAACTGACAATCTTTAGTCATTCGGTTATTTTATTTTAAAGTCAACATAATTGTCACTATTAAAAGTGTGGTGTATCGTGTTGTTATAATTAAATTTTTCTTAAAAAAATGTTTTTAATTTTTAATTTAAATTTGTATTAATATGAATAAAGAAGGTATTATTGGAATTGCTATTTACATTGCGCGTGATAAAATGAAAAAAACTGAAATGAATAAAAAGAGAAAAAAAAGGTACTGGATGAAAGAATAGTTCAAAAAAAGGAACACATTTTCCCATCATAATCTTCTAGATGAACTTCGACTATCTTCTCCTTCTGACTATAGAAATTATCTCCGCATGGACCACACGACATTTTCGAAGTTATTAAAGATGATCACACCAATGATAGAGAAACAGAATACTTGCATGAGAGAACCAATTTCATCGGCCCAGCGTTTATCGTGGACGCTACGATACCTGGCTACCGGCGTTAATTTTAAAGAACTTAAGTTCATTACCGCAATCGCTCCACAAACAATTGGAAAAATTATCATTGAAACATGTAAAGCCATAACAACTGCACTAAAAGATAATATAAAGGTAAGTAAATTTATTTATTTTTAATTCATTAAAAAAAAGTTTAATTTTTAAAATATTTGAAGGAAAAATTTAATCAAGGTCTAATTATTTATAGCTTATATAACAATATTATTTGAACAATTCAATATATTTATTTATTTGTTTCAACTGTTAGAAAGAAAAAAGTAATTCATCTTAATTAGTGTATTGAGTGTCGGTAAGAAGTTCACTGAAACTATTATAAGCTGTTGTGTTTGAAACGTTTGGAGTCTCCCATGTATGACTAGATAGTGATGAATTTGAATTTGTAGATATATATACAGGCGCAGGTTGAACAAACGTAGATGGTGTTGAAGAGCGCGAACATACACAAGAATGATTAATTTTTACCGAATTACGATGAAGAGTTTTTAAGCGGGCTTCAAAAAGGACATCGTAATTGCTTTTTGAGCAAACAGTTGTTGATCAGATTCAAGTTTTTCTAATTCAATAGCCCATGACTTCGCTAAAATGTCGTTATCAGATATGGATTGTTGTAGGTGATTGCAAGCTAATTCTAGTAGATCATTCTTCCTCTTTTCTTCAGAATTTTTCGTTTTTTTTTTTTTTTTTATGGTTTTTGTGAAGTTGTTTTAGGAGTTGCAGGGGGACTCGTTGCAAACATATCTTCCTGTAAATAAAATAAAAATAAAACATTTAATAAATTAAATATAAAAATAAACTATAAATAATCAAATTAATCTGCTATATTAAATACATGTGTTTACATATTTTTACATGTGTTTTTTGATTTTAGATACCTGCTTCAGAAAAAGAATGGAAAATTATTTCTGATGAATTTGAATCAAAATGGAATTTTAATCATTGTTTGGGAGCGATTGATGGCAAACATAATTTAGAGATAATAAAGCCTCAACAATCTGGCTCGTATTTTTTCAATTACAAACATACGTTCAGTATTGTTTTGATGGCCATTGCAAATGCTAACTACGAGTTCATTATGGTGGATATTGGTGCAAATGGACGAGTTTCAGACGGAGGCGTATTTTCAAATACTTTGTTTTACAAATATTTTCAAGAAAAAAAATTAAAGATTCCGGAATCGGATTATCTACCAGGAATAAGTGACAAATTGCCTTATGTTTTTGTAGCTGATGATGTTTTTCCGCTTTCAAACAATCTAATGAAACCCTATCCACATAGAAATTTAAGCAAAAAAAAAAACGTATATTCAATTATAGATTGTCGAGAGCTCGAAGAATAATTGAAAATACTTTTGGAATTCTAGCATCACGATTTCGAATACTTTTAAAAACAATAAATTTAAGTCCGGAAAAAACCACAGTAATCGTTCGTGCCTGCTGTCATCTTCACAACTTTTTACGTCAACATAAAATGGAAATTTTTTTACAGGACAGTTTCGATTTTGAAAATATTTTAACAGGAAATGTGGAACCGGGAAGTTGGAGAAGTCAAGATGAGCAATTAGGTCAGCTACAGCCTTATCAAGGTAGAAATTCACCAGTAATAGCCAAAGAGATACGAGATCATTTTTGTAATTATTATAATAACGCTGGGGCAGTCCATTGGCAAGACAATTGAATCGACAATAATACTTAATTATTTTTATATTATTTTTTTCTTTCGTTTATAAGTATCATTATTTTTACCCAAGTTATATATAAACTAAATTTAAAATAGTTAAAGAATGAAATACCGATAATATTATTACGTACTGTATTTTCATTTGTAATAGTTATCATTTTTTGAATAAACACTTCAATATTTATTTTTTTGTATTGTTTTTATATGACCAGCACATGGGTATGTGTATTTTAAAATAGATACGCCACAAACACGTTTACTACGAAAAAATAACTAAATTTAACCAATATTCCATAATAATAAATATCCATGTATAATAATATTATTACGTACTGTAATTTCCAATGTTACGTCTTGAGGATCATTAATTTCTTCATCCGTTGTTGATGTTCCAGGTATTTGCATTTCGTGCATTTCCCGTAAAAACTCCAACTCTTCAAAATACCAAACCGACGGCATGTATACAGAGTGTTCAGTAAGTCAGGAAACGGGTATCTATTGTTCTCATTGTTACAAACAATGAGAACAATAGATACCCGTTTCCTGACTTACTGAACACCCTGTATATTGTCGGTACCTGCACCGGATTTTTCACTCCCTATAACTTTTTTCAACTCACGACGATAATTTGATCTCAATGTATTGATTTTTATTTTTGTTATATTTATGTCNGATCTCAATGTATTGATTTTTTTTTTGTTGTATTTATGTCAGCCGTTGGATCTATTTCTTTTAATTTGTTAGTTAATTGTACATAACATTCTTGCTTAAAAATTCTATTTTTGTACAAATCACTTTTTATTTTCCACGTAGCAGGTAAACTACGGTATAAATGTATAAATTCGCGCCAAAATTCTTCATTATTCATCTTATTTGCCATTTTTTGACGAAAATATAAAATTACGAAAAGGCAATACGCAAGACAAAAAAGACACGACTAGTTCATACAATTTGATTTAATTGACTGATAAAATGTACATTCATAGACATACATGGTCAATCATGAATGTCAATCATCTTGACTGATAATAAAAATTCAAACATGTTTGAATTTCATCAGTCACAAAATTTGACTGTCAGTCGTCATCAGTCATACATATACACGGTCAATCATGAATTTCAATCACGTTGATTGTCATTCAAAACTGACCGTGTATGGGGGGCTTTAATTATGTTAACGTTATACGGCTAAGATAATTGGGAGGGTTCATTTAAAAAAACGATTATTGAAGCAAAAAAAAACCCAGCACAGGGGGGTCGCAATACAGTGGTAACGTGGCGTAGATGGATCAAGTATAATGATATCTGACAGTGATTAAAATCACTATAAAAAAAAAAACGCTTCGATGCAAATCTTTAGATAGTGTTTAATTTTAAAAAATTGGTGGATTATTCCAAAAGCTACATGATCTGCTATTTCCTTATTTATATCTTGATTAAGATAAAATATGTCAAATGAAAGAGGAATATATATACTATTTCTCATAAAAAATTGTATTGATCCATAAATACATTTTTCATTAAGTTAAAACATTATAAAGTTAAAAATCTAAAATATAAAATCGAGATTTTCACAAAAAAAGCATTCGGTAGCCATTTTCACCGTGAAGACAAAATAAAGTCCAAATTTTTTTTTCCATGATAAATTATACTACATTAGCTTTAATTTAAGATATATATAAAAGTGTCAGTATTCACTATCAAAAGTTAAGTTGAAAAAGTTGTCATTTTTAATCAACCCGTGGGCAGGTAAAGGGTCAAATTTATAAAAAAAATATACCAAATAATAGGTAAAGACATTATGCATCTATAAATTTATATAAAAAATTATATTGATATAATCATTATTGAAAAAGTCATGGCAGTTTTAAGTAAAAAAATTTCAAAAATTATCTATTAGCTTCGATGCGAAGCTGAGAAGGTATTGGTTTTACTAAGATGTGTTTATTTTTTTTTTTTTTTTTTTTTTGT